GGTGGCAAGTACTGGGCTTGGCTCTAGGACCCATGAGTGAATAAAGCTAGTGCTCTCTCTGCTTGGAACATAGAATTGATTGACAGCAACACTATTATTAATAAGAGTTGGTTAATCATAACAATAATAACAATGTAGACATTTATATTGCATTTTCTTTGTGCCAAACATTACCTTGAGCAATGTTTATATGTTATTTTATGTAATCCTCAGCACAACCTTACACAGTAGGGGCTTTATTATCCCCATTTTCCAGATGAGAAAACTCATCTAAGTGTGCCCCAGGTCACCACTACAAGTGGTGTAGAGTTAGGAATGGGATGCAGACCCAGCAGCTCGGCTCTGGCATCTGGTCTTTACAACTGTGCTTGGCCTCATCCACCCGTGGAGACATGATGAACAAATAAATGGACGTGCGCTGAGCGTCAGAAAGAGGGAATAGCAGAGTGCAGTGGGGAACGTGTAAGAGAGTCTTCGGCCCTTCCGGTAGGGGGCCCAGTAAGGCATCCTGCGGACAAGGCATGGCAGCTGGGATCGGAAAGATGGGCCAGGCCGAGTCGGGTGAAGGGTCCCCGGACAGCAGGGGCACGGGCCTGGACAAACCTTAGAACAGCTGGAGGAGCCAGCATGGTTGCAGCGAGCTCTGACGTTGAGTGGTGGGGTGGGCCCAGGTGGACAGGACGTTTTGGACATCTTCATGTTTGGGACTTTATATTTAAGAACATCAGGAAGCTAATGAAGGGTGTGAATTAGGGAGTGTAGCCTGGTCTGGCTTGTTCCACCCAGTAGGGAGAACTGACTAGAGACTACCCTTAGGAGGTTCTCCTGGTGACAGAGGTTCTAACCTGCTGATTGAAATAAGTAGGAGACAGGTGAAGGGATTCGAGAAACATTCAGGATGTAGAATAAACAGGATCTGTAAAGCTAGTTACCAAGACAGCATGTTTGGCTCTACTGTTAGCACAGGTTTTTTAGAACCACAAATGAATATAATGTAGTGGAAATGCACAGATTAAGTGGTTTGAAAACAGCATTATCACAATGTTAATTTGTGGTTCTTTTGTGAAAGGCTTGGAAGATACCTAATTAACCAAAATGAAGCTGAAAGAAGCTGCTTTCAAATCATATTCCAGCTCATATTCAAATTTTTCTGAGCCAATTCGCTTGCTTGACAAAAGGGCTTTTGTACCATTTCTGGAAGGAATCTCTTAAATTTGTCAGGAATCTTATGTTATTTACTATTCACTTCTAATTCCGAAAAATGAAGTCTTTCCCAGGACTGTATATTGTCTTGATTCTTATGTGGTTATCACTGTGCTTCTGAAGCGTGTGTTTTAGTCAGGTGCCGTTCACCTTGGCGAAGAGCACTCTTCGCCAACAGCACCAGCTCGTGTAGTGAGGGTGGTCACTGCGATGTAGAAGGGCCCTCTGAAGCCGCGGTCGACAGTGCCCTGGTGCTGAAAGCCTGCGGTCTGGTCAGTGGGGAACGGAGCTGTGTCCCCGGATGCTTGAGAGGGAGGAGAGACCGCGTCTCCAGGCGTCTCCAGTGCTGTGTTACTCATCGCTTCTGAGGAGTAACAGCAGTAACATTGGTACATTTCTTGATTGAAATAGTTCTTTGTTCCAGCACTCTGATCTCCTCTGCGCAGTCAAGTCACTTGCGAGCAGTTCAGTGCGGGGCTCTCGTACTGCAGGACATCTAGGTAATAGAGAACAGGGTGCAGCCGGGGTTCCCTCGTCTGGAAAGCGGAGCTGGTGACGGGCTACACGGGCTGAGGGAAGAACACGTCTGTCTCCTGGTCGTGGGGACGTCACTCCGTGTCAGTTACTGTGCGGACCGTGCTTCCCCAGGGTCGTGTGTGTTGAGGGGAAGCCCGAACCTTACAGCTCTTAAACGAACATCCCTCTTGTCAAGTAGAATACTTGTTGCATGTGTCTGCATTAGGTGAGCAAGGCTCTCGGTAATAAAGTGTTTGTTTTATGTATTTAGTTAGTTGGTTTTTTGTTGTTGTTGTTAATCCTCACCCGAGGATATTTTTCCATTGATTTTTAGATAGAGTCGAAGGGAGGGAGGGAGAGAGAGAGAGGCATTGATGTGAGAGAGACATCGATTGGTTTCCTCCCACACAGCCCCGCCTGGGCCAGGGACTGACCCTGCATCCCAGGCATGTGCCCTTGACCAGGAATCGAACCTGCTGCCCTTCGATCTGGTGCTCTGACTGTTGAGCCAAATTGGTCAGGGTGGTAATAAAGGTTTTAGATTATGTTTGCTGATCCAACCTCTAACAAACAGAGCAAATTAGGGAAAATTTAAATGGCTACAAATATTTTTTTCAAACACAGTAGAAATAAAACATTTAAGTTTAAATTTTTTTAAATCTTTAATTTTTTTTCTTTACTGATATTAGAGAGAGAAAGGAAGGGAGGAGAGAGAAATATCGATGAGAGAGAGCATCAGTTGGCTGCCTCCTGCATGCCCCCCCACTGGGGATCGGGCCCACAACCTGGGCATGTGCCCTGACCGGGAATCGAACCAGTGACCTCTCGGTACATGGGTCAGCACTCAACCACTGAGCCACACCGGCCAGGCTAAGTTTTAATTCTTCAAAGTAGATTTTTTTTAGACGTTTGTAGCCTAGAATACGCATTTTATCAGAAACATTGTGAATTAATTCACTAATAAGTCGGGGATCTCTGTTTCTGAGAAAATTCACCTCGATGGACTGTAGTGACCAGGCAGGGCCACATTATACTAGGAAGAGCAGACGGAACAAGTTGAGGGAACAAGCTGGGACCTCAGAGAGAGCCACCCTTTCACACCTCAGCGGGGAACAAGGCTTTGCTCTGCGTGTTTTTGGCCAGAGACACCCTAGGGTGTGCACAGTCTGCAGATACCTGGACTCAGTCTGAAGGTTTTGTAGCCCACGGAGTAGTTCATTCTACTTAGGTGGTCAGGGAACAATTTCACACAAGGTCAGCGAGATCACAACAACTCAGATGAACAAATTGTCAACTGAAATTATTTTATACATTAAATCAATCCTCCTGTGTTGGACATAGTTTACAGTGTATAGATTGTGTTCACAAGAGGTTAAATGGTCACTTCGTAGTAGGCACCACAAGGAAGGAGATGTTCATAAACTTGGACCATCTCAGGAAGCTGCTTGCTTTTGGGTGGTGGTGGGGTCCTGTCTCTTTATTTTTCTCCACCATTCTGACCTCTCGACAGCTGTGTGTGCTCTGGTCCTGCAGTCACAGTTGGCAGGTGTCTGTGACTGTCTCTATAAGGACAGCTTTGATGGAGCATTTACATTTCACGAGGCTTCTCATAACTTCTGCTTCGTGGACTAGGAAATTCAGTCCTGCAGTTCTCTCACCCTGCTTTTTTCCCCTCTTTACTTTAAAATTAAAATAAACAGCAAAGCACGTTAGAAAACGCGGTGAGGTCGTGAGAGAACCAGCCCCAGCCCCTCCCCTTAGCTTCCTGAGCACCCGGCTCTCACCGCCCCCACACCTGGCGGCAGCGGGACGGGATTTCAGCGGCATCCCCCCGAGTGAGCGCTGTGGACAGGTGCCTAGCAGACAGCAGTGCCTTCCAAGGTGGCCAGGGCTAGGGTGGGTGTCGCGAAGGCCCATTCTCAATGTTCCCTGTGCGCTCCAGGTCTGCTGCTTATTGTACCGGACTGCCATTTGGCACACCAGTCACGGGTCTGAAAGCTGTCAGGGACTGTTCGTTCATTTCCAGCAGCTGATTCTGTCAAGGGCCTAGTCATAACAGAAGTAGCACAGAAACAGGGATTTCACCATTTGGGAGACTAGCATTAGAATTCATTTACACATTTATTTTCAAATCGTAATTGATGTTATCGGAGGAGGTTTCGCGTGAGTCAGAGGTGAAGATTCTTATTATCAGTGACTTCTCATCTCTTGGAGAGAATCCCCCTTGTTCCTACGCAGTTCGGTTTCCAAGGCCTGTGAGTTGTCCTCTCGCAAGATGAAAGCCACACAGGTTCTCAGATTCTCCTGTAATCGTGCGCCAGCGCCTCCCAGCGGACTGGAAAAGACCGAAGCCCTTTACTGTAAAGTGGACCTCAGAACTCAGTTTTGTCAAGTACTTACTTTTAGCCCTGTTTTATCACGAAGCGTCGTATCTCAGAAGAGTGTTCGTTCCGTGGGCTCTGGCAGAAATGTTACGTGTTTGATTACATCACAATTTGTATTCCCTCTGTATTTTAATGCTCCCCCAAGCTGTTATTCATAAAAAAAAAAAAATTTTTAAGCCCTGTTTAAGTTTGCCCTTGAATAGCCACCTGCTCTTGGGGAGGGAGGGTGGCTTTGAAGTGGTCTGTATCAGTTTCTTAGATTTCTTGTTTATTTGCCATTTTACAAAGATTTTATTCATTGAAATAGATGTATGCTATGAAAATCACCTAGAGAGTCTTAAGATGAAATTCCCATTTTTATAATTGAGTGATCAAATTCATTGGAAGATTAGCCAGGAGGAGGAGATGAAATATACCAAAACATACGCTCTTGTAACAGAGAGGTTTAGAAAATTACAACGCACCATATGCTTTCTCCCCACCCCCAGATTATGTATATGGACCTGAGAGAATTCTCTGTGGGAGCCCTTGCACCCTCTCAGTGCTCCTGATGCTATGCAACTGGGGTAGAAAACCGAGGGCACTCTGCTAGGTACAATGACCAGTTCATACGTATGTCATTGCCTGCACCTAGTCTGATCCCCAGTGACGCAATGTGGTTCTCAGGTGGGTTTGGTTTCCATTGGATTCCAAGGGAGTCGTGTACACAGAGCAGGGTGCAGTGCCACTTTGGAATATGAGTGTTTCTATGACACTAGCCTTTGAGCTTGAAGTGAGAGCCATGACATGGGAGAATTATGACAAGGACAGCCTGATTTAAGTTTTATAAATTTTAGGAAATGTCATCTTTTTATTGGTTTCAGAGACTTTTTCAAATGTTTTAAACACAATTTTCAGATAACAATAATGAAAAGCTGAGCCCCAAACCAGGGACAGGTGAACCAGTTTTAAGTTTGCAGTACAGCACAGAAGGAACGACCGCAAGCACAATAAAACTGAACTTTACAGACGAATGGTAAGTTCGCGTTTTCGTCAAGATGTTCTTAGCCACTGTGTAGGACTGTGTTAGATGTCACTGCAGCACTTCACGTCTTTATGTCTTGCTTTGCTATAATGTGTGCCTCAGACTCACCTGGAGAGCTTGTTCAAACGGATGGCCGGGCCCCTCCGCTCGCTTTGAGGAGCGGGGCCGAGAATTTGCATTTCTGGAAACTTCCCAGGTGATGCTGACGTTGCTAGTCCTGGAATATGCCTCTTGATAGAAAATGCAAAAGATAAACAGAATTAATCACTTGTAGAACCTAGTATACAAATAACAAACCTGACATTCTGGAGCTTTTTGCAGTCTTGGTCCTGTGTATAGATTTATATATATATATATGTATGTATGTATGTCTGATTTTTGTTTTCAGTTTTAAAATATAACTTTAATCGTGTTGAATATGCTCTGTTCTCCCTTGCATTTATTTGACTTAACTTTATAGTAAATATTCACATGTTACTACTTAGCTTTTATAAGTATTATTTTACTAGCTGTATAATAGCCCGTCAAGTAGATGTACCACAGTTCACTTAACCATTTCTATTTAATTGGGCAGTGAATTTGTTCACCCTTTTTATATTTAACCAAATAAGGCCATAATGAATATCTTTGTTTACAGGCTTTTTTCCCACTTTTAAAATTATCGATTTGAGATATATTTCCAGAAATGTACTATTACATTTAGGTTAAAAATATTGCCAAATTATTTTCAAAAGAATTGAGTGTCATTACATTTCACCAGCAGCATATGGATCTGCACATTTTGCTGTCTCTCGGCAATGTTCAATATATTCATTTATTTTTAACTTGTACATTTTACTTTAAAATAACATTTGTTTCTATTTGATTACCAGTAAGATTGAGCTTTATATTTATTTAATGGTTGTATAGGTTCTCTTTAATGACATTTCTGATTATATTTATTGCTCATTAATCTAGTTAAATCATACTGTTTAAAAAAAATCAAGGTCTGTGGGCTTTTTCATTCTTCCCCACTGTCTCATGGCCTTCTGCTTCAGACTGCCTCCAGCCTTCTCCCTTACATGTGTTACCATTGCTGTGTTAATATCGCTACAGTGATAGCACGGTCTTTCTTAATATGCAATATAATTAATTATATATTATATAGTAATTATATTAATCATTTTATAACCAATATATTATTCTGTGTAATTAATATATTATATTAACATACTTAATTGTATATTAATATAGTTGTTATATGTTATATGTTAGTATAATATATAATATGTATAAATAATATATAATGTAGTTATATATTGTTTATTAATATATAATTAATTATATGTTCATGTATGATCATATTGATATGTATGTATTTTGGTTCCCTGGTTTCCATTTGTGTTGATGTGTGTATGTATTTTATATTAGAATCTTTGATTAAGTAGTATTCTCAAATAGTGTTGAATACCTTCTCTGTTCCAGAGACTATTGTAGACATGGGGAGTGTATCAGTGAAAAGTATAGGCAAGAAAACCTCTACCCTGTAGGAGCTCGGACAGGCACACGATAATAACTAAGCGAATCATGTAATACATTAGAAGGTACCAAGTGCGAGGGGATGGGCAGCATCACGGGGAGGGTGAGAAGGCGTGAGCCGCGCGTGCACAGAGCAGAGGGAAGGCCAGACCTGTGGTGTGTGAGGGTCGTTAGGGGAGCGTACGCGTGGAGCCGGAGTGGCAGCAAAGGGCAGCCAAGTGAGGAGGACGTTTGAAAGGACGGAGGCCAGCTGGGTGCTGTGCAGACACCGGCTGCAGGTAGAGCCGGGTGAACAGGCAGCAGACGGCGCTTAGCGCGGTGACAGGTGCCGTGTCTTGGCCCAGGGGTGAGCAGGGGAGGTGGTAAGAGGAGGTGCATTCTGGATGTGTACTCGAAGGCGCAATCGCTAGAACGTCATGAGCCCAGTCTTTGACCTCTGCTTTCTCAAACCAGAATGTCTATGGCCCTTGCTCATAGTATATAATTTACAATCACAGAAGATTATCATCCTTACTCTTTTTTTGTCTTTTCTATTTTCATTCTAGACAGAAGGGGCTGATTTCTTATAAAGAATCTCATCTGAGCATTTTTGTGAGAAAACATATGTTCAGTCCCACTCTTCTGTTGGACACCACTTTCCCTCCCCAAAACTGACCATGAATTATATTCTTATCTGCCAGTTTCTTGTTTCTTTATCAAAGAAGTTACTAGTTTTTTTATTCTGATTGTGAGAACATTCAGTCTTCAGCGTAAAAAACATTCCAGAAAGGACGCGGTCTGTTTCTCTGCCGCGTGGTGTCTTGCTCCCGGTTCAGTTTCTCTGATGACAGAGGAGGCACCAGAGCCCACGGGCTGGAGCTCGGACTCGTTTTCTCACCTGAAAGCGGGCGTGTCCCGTAGAGCCCACCTCAGAGGCTGTGGGTTTCGGAGACCACAGACGCAGCCCGGCCCTCCCCTGGCGCGGGCTGGCCTCCGAGAGGCGCTGCAGCCGGCGTCGGGGAGTGTGCTCCAGTCCTTGGCACAGTTTCCTGCTGTGGCGTTTATCTGTTTCTTACTGATTTATAAGGTGTTTATTTCTTACAGGGTAAGTGAGGATAATACCATTTGACTTTCACTCGTTGCAAAGATTTCCCCTGCTTGCTGTTTGTCCTTTGGTTGCAGCCTGTGAGCTCACGCTTAGAAAGCCTTGTCCCACCCAGGACTAGGGGGCACATTTCTTCTTGTTTCCCTCTTGCATTTCTGTGACTTTATATTAAAAAATTGAATGTTTAGTCCTTCCGTGACCTCCTTCACCATAAAACGTGCTGCAGAGCTAATGGCTTAACTTTTGCACGTGGTTGTCCCTCTGTCCCAGCGCCATGTAGTGCGCAGTCTCTTCATTTCTCTGTGATTGAACGCCACATAACCTTTGCTGAATACATTCACTTGGTCACTTTGTCTTTTCAACTAACGGCACAATCCCTATCTCAGTGCCATGATGTTTCAGTGATGGTAACTGTTACACACGAGCATTGTCCTGATGCCTGTGTCATAGCTTTCTCTGTACCCAAACGACTATTACTTATTTCTGGTTAAAAAGAACTACTTATCAATTGCAAAAAATTAATAATGTACAGAATAGCAAGAAAGGGTCATGGACGCTAATGCTCCTGAGACGACACTTCGCTCTGCCCGTTCTGTCTGGCGTTTGCTCACGAAGGACCCAGCAGGGTACACCCCTTCCCAGGACCCCAGTGTAGACGGGCGCCCTTTTAAAAGCAAATTGACTTTTACAGTGAACCTAAAAGCATCTTTTAGCAAACTCTTGGCAAAAAATTTTATCATAATTTGTATTGTTTACTGAGTCACTGCTATTTGTCTATAATGAATGTTTTTTAGTTATCATTTTCCTTGTTCACACTTCCTCTAAATTTGAGAAATTGTCCCATTTCTGTGAATTTAATTTTAATCCGAGTCAGACTCTTACACATTTTCCTGTTTCCTTCCCCACGTAACTCTCTTCACAATGTGTGATGCCATGGCTAGCCCCAGACCTCACTGACAGGTCCACCTAACTTGCTCTAGCTCTGTGCCCCACCAGGAATGCTAATGGTCATGGCGTCAGCAGGTGGGTATCAAAGCTGGGCCAGGACACACGCTGGACTCCTCCAGGCTGTGGTCCGTCACTGGCCACGCTGAAACCACAGACCAGAACTGGGAGTAGCCCACAGAGGACAGTGCAAGACCAGAGAAGAGGCGAGGCCTTTCTTAAAGTGCTCCTTTCATGCTAGCCTGGGCCAGCAAGGTCTAAAGGGCATACGGTCAGAGTCTGTAAAGTCACGAACGGTTCAGATAGGGGAGCCATCCCTCGGGAGGGTAAGAAGGGAGGCAGTGTAATTAAGTTACAGAATCTGAGCGCGAGGTGTAGACGTGCAGGGCTGATGGGAGAGGCATCAGCACAGCATGGGAGCGGTCCTCTGTGTTTCTCAGTCTCCAGTTCCAGATGAAGGGGATTAGGGCAGTCACCTCGGTCATTAAAAGGGAGGTTTTGTAAGTGCTATTAAAATAATAAGTCTTACATTTTATTTGTAGCCTGAATTTTCGAACTACTTCTATAAAATGCAGAAATGACCCTGCCAGTTCACATTACTAACCCCTGCTGGAACCACTTGCTGTGTTTTGATGGCAGGAGCAGTACTTCCTCCAGTTCCAGAGGGAACGGAACCCACGGCAAACCCGAGGGTCAGGAGGAGGCCCCGGTCCCCCAGAGCTCAGAGCCGCCTCCGGCAGGGGACAGCAAGGCAGGTAAGCGTGACTGCTGGGTCCTCACAGACCCCGAGGTAGCGTCCACGCTTTTCTGTTCCCTCAGTGGTGTCCTTTGGTTTCTTGTTTTTAATAAATGATTTTGTGTCTAGTCTGCTATGACTGTTGATAGGGAGGTAACAGGTGCATCAGGTAGGGACTGTTGACAGGTCAGAGGGGGTGGCAGTGCAGCCCAGGTCCCCGCGTGGACACACGGCCAGGAGACACCGTCACTGCACCGACCCCCATGTGTGCTGTCCGCGTCCGTTTGGGTCACCTCTGCCATGTTCACACCTCGCAGTGGCCTTCAGAGTGTGGGTGGGTTAGGAAGGAAGGAAAGGAGGAGGACGACCCACGTGGGCTCCGAGTGAACCTTGTTTCACGCCGCAAGTGCCCCGAGGGAGCTTTCGGAGCCCTTTGGAGAGGGTTTCCATGCGACGATTGTATGATGGAGTCTTGCAAAGAGCCCGAAGCAGTAGCTTCTCAGTCAGTACTTGGTAAGTGAAGGAATAAACGATTCTGCTTCTTGAAACTGAATAGCCACCTCAGTGTAACGGGGTTGACAGGAATTCAGTGTGCAAGAGCACTGTCCCGTGAGGGAGTCTGGCCCTTCTCGGACTGTCTGTCAGGCAGACTGCCCGTTCAGGTGACACCGGAGGCCGAGGCCCAGGGAGCCCTGGGGGCAGCCAGAACCAGCAGGAACGCAGTGCGAGGCCGCGTCTGCGCCGGGGATTCCCCGAGGGTCGGGTCTGTTCTCAAAGGTTCCCTCAGCAAGGGGCCCGGGTACAGCGGGCGGCCCTCCCTGAGAGCGTGGGTCCGAGCTGTGTGCGTCCGGTTGTGTGTCGTACGAGGGGGCTCATCTGAGTGTCCCAAGTTCCTGTGACCCCGAAAGGGTGAGAACTACTTACACATGAGTAGGCTGGAGTATATAAGTTGGTGATTTTTCTTAAAACTGTGTGGATTTGATGATCATTTGATTTATTTCCCAGAAGCTCCTGAAGAACCCTCGGAGAGGGTGACAGTGCCCTGGGAGGGTGCGTCCGCAGAGCAGAGCCAGACGGACACGGGTGAGTGTCGTGCGTCTCCCTGGCTGCGCCACGCTGGTCTCGGAGCTGGAGGGGTCCCAGCACAGGGTGCTGTGGGGTCTGCCGCACGGGGAATGAGCGCTACGAATGTCTGTCAGCTTTGAAGGTGGTCAGGTGAGGGGGCTGCGACCTGACCCCTGTCACTCTCGTTCTGGGCAGCACGGTCCGACGAGTCCACGTCTGCGCCGCCAGAGTCCAGCTCGGGAGAAGGGGACGACTGCCGCCCCGCTGGCCCTCGCGGGGCTCCAGGAGCTGCCGCCGCGGCTGAGGAGGGCCAGGGCCCAGGAGCGGCTGAGGGAGCCCGCGCCGAGAGCTCCGCCCCCCTCGGCAGCCCCGGGCCCGAGCCTCCCGAGGAAGCGTCGGCCACGGACTCTGCTCTGCAGGACACGGATGACAGTGACGATGACCCAGTGCTGATCCCAGGTGCCAGGTATCGAGCAGGACCTGGTGACAGGTTGGTGTACTTTTAATTCGTGTGAACTGTAAAAAACAATTCACAAGGCTGTCCCCCAAGTCACACAGGAGTCTCTCCATGTCGGACGGCTGCTTCCTCTAAGGGGGTCTTTGTTGTGGAAACTGACGGAACTTCCCAGATGAAATCATTTCGCACAGGACGCTCTTTGAGTCAAGTGTGCAGGTGGAAACGGTCCCACCAGCCGGCTTCTGCTCCGAGGCGCGCTCCGAGGCGCGCTCCTCGGCCCACAGCCCGGGGAAGGGGCCGCCGGTCATTACGAGTCAGGGCTGTCTAGCTGTCTGGGTGCCTGCACGCATCCTGGTCGTCAGCAGGTTTGGGGGTATTTTTACTCTTCAATTTTTCTGCTTTTCTGTTGACGCTGGATTAAGGTAGTGACAGTTCTCATTTTGAGAACATTGTTTATCTTTGATTTGTACTAAACTTTAGTAACTCAGTTTATAAAATGAGAAATTACACCAAATAAATATTGTACCTCGATAAAGAATTGAATTGCTAGCACGGTCAGATACTTTTCCTGGTTTTCCTTCTGTGGGATCACAGGGGGTATTCTGTTCCTAGCAGAGAGAGCAAGTCTTTGCGAGTGTGTTGCGTCCTGTGCTGCTGGAGACGACCCGAGGCTGGAGCCAGCGGCAGAGGCGGCAGGCCTCGTGGGCTCTGCCCCTCAGGCATCTCACGGTCCACGGTACCGGCCGTAGGAGCGAAGGAGCGTGTCGCAGCCTCCTGTGCTCAGTCGCCTGCTATTCGTACACTGTTACGGCATTTCATCAAGTGAAGAATAAAATGAAAAGATTCATTTACCATTAAGGAACTACATAGTTGTAATATGATCAAGAGCATAATAACTTGGGTTTGAATCCTGGTTTTACCACCTACTGGCTGTGTTTTCTCATTCAGATTGCTTAATGTTTAAGTTTCAGTTTCTTTATTTATAAAATGGGGTCAAGATTATCTAGAATTGTAAGAATTTTTTAGGAACCTGTCAGTCAGCCATCACAGGCCCTCTCGCGTGGGAAGCAGCCCAGGTGCTGCGCATGGCTGTGTACACGCGGTGACAGGGACAATGGCTCTGGATGCAAAGGCCAGCGGCGGAAGCGGAGATCCTGCCGCTCAGGGAGCCTGCCTTCTCTGAAGTCTCAGGGCTGCCTTCCCTTGGTCACACTCAGCCAGCGCGTCCTTGGCCCATGACCGTGAAGGGTGTGCTCTTTGCTTCGTGTGCTTGGAGGGAGTCCCACATCTCCGCCTCTGCGCGCATTAGTCTTCAGCGTGCTGAGTCTGTGTTTAGACAAGTGAAGCTCTCCACCCCCAGAGGGAGCTGAGAGCTGCATCGCCCTCGCTGCCTGCACAGCCGGTCAGCAAGCCCAGCGCGTCCGAGTCAGACTGGTGGCCTCCCAGCCCAGGGCGCAGAGCTAGCGGCGGCCGCGGTGTTCGGCTTGTCCCTGGAGGCTGCCGTTACAGAGGGAGCGCTGTCCTTGCTTCTGTACTCACGCAACAAAACGATGCCACGGTCATAATTAAAAATGGAATTTAAGTAGCCACTTTTTAATAAAATGTACCCTATCACTTTCCAGATTTGTTTGTTTAAATAGGAAATTGTATTTTTACTAGATAGTAGACTGCTGCAGAAAATTAGTTATTTAGCATCTTCTATCCAGGCTAATTGAACACTTCCACACCGAGCCTGCCTGGTAGCCGAGGAGGCTGAGGTACCACGGAGGGGTTCTGCATATTCTAGACCTGGGGTGGATCTGTTAAAGACAGTCGTGTGACATCAGTGAGGAAGGAGGGACCAGGCGTGCTGACCCGCCGTGCGTGCTCCGGAATCCACGCGCTCCGGCCTGCGTCCAGGTGGGGGGCCGCCTCTGGGCCCACCTCCGCCCCTGCTTCATTCTGGGTTTAACGTGCTAGTCCGAATCCTCAGCTCAGGGGATCAGCTTCAGTTTGTCCCATATATTTTTTTTTATCCTACAGGACATACTAGTAAATGTACTGAGGAGTATCAGAAGGATCATAAAATTCTTACCCTTAGGGAAATTGAATCTATTGAGGAGCCAAGGACACTGCAGAAGCACAAGAACACGGAGAGCAGTCAGGAAACGTAGGGAATTGAGTACGATGTTCTGCACAGATGTGCACACGGGTGTGCTGAGCTGAGATCACCGTGTCAGGTTCCTTGAGAGTCCATTATTCTCTCTCAGCTGTTCACTGGAAATTTATAAATGATGAAAAGCTTCCTTTTGGCTTTTCTCTAAGTAACTTTTAAAGCCCCGAACTTCCTTAGCACACCTTGTTAACCCTCGAGCTGCCTGTATAAAACACGTCTAATATTTCTGCCCTGCCGCGGGCTCGCCGTCCTGGGACCACTGCCCACTTGTCTTCTCCCTTTGGGGGAATGGCTGTGTTGACCTTTATTGTAAAGAGAGGACGTTTAAGACATTTTGCTTCTTAAGCATACGAGAAGCATTTGCCAGCTTGTAAGTAGGCATGTGGTCTTTGAGAACGTGTTTGCAAAGAGACAGGATCCCAGAGCTCTGTTGTGAAAGTCATACCCTTGGTTCTTGGAGTCTCAGGATACTTTTCACACTTGGATAAAATGCCCAACTAAAGGATGCATGTCTTAAAGAGAAGCCAGTCAAGAGTAGTTTGTTAGGGAAGAGAAATGGCCCAGAAATTAAAAATAGGGAAAGCATGTACTTAGATCTGTACTTTAATTTGTATGAAGAATTTCGGAGTAGATCTCAATTTCTTTTTGGCCCCCAATTTTTAATCCTCACCTGAGGACATGCTTACTGATTTTTTAAAACATTTTTATTTTTAGAGAGAGGCGGGGAGAGAGAGAAACATTGATCAGTTGCCTCCTGTACGCTCCCAGCCAGGGATCGAACCTGCAACCTAAGCATGTGTCCTGACCAGGACTCGAACCTGCCACCCTTCGGCGCACAGGATGCTGCTCCAACCAAATGAGCCACAAAGGGCCCACATTTAATTTTTTAAAATGTAACCTAAAAAGTTTATAGCCAGGCTATTTTGGACATGCACTTAATAAAAACATTAAAAAAAAATTATTTGCATTGCAGAGTAATGTTTTCTCTTTGAAGGTTTGCATTCTTAAAATTTGGCTGAATATATATGACCTTGGTTTTCGCTTTGGGGCTGAGATTAAGCATGAGAAGTAATGTCTGAGAAATAAAGGTCCTAACCACTAACATGCTGTTCTAGAGCGCAGTGCTGTTCTCGCTAACTACGGCCAGTCTCGGGCGGAGCTGGCTTGGGCGGAGCTGGCTCGGCGGCCAGGTCTTTTGAACCTTGCTGGCCTAGGGGCAAAGTGGAGACCGGCCTGTAGGTCCTTATATAACCATTTAAAATGTCACCATTTACAAATGTGCAACTGTTGTTAGCCTGAGGGCCATTAAAAACAGCAGGTTGGCCCTGATCAGTTTGGCTAAGTGGCTAGAGTGTCGGGCCATAGACCAAAGGGTCTTGAGTTCAGTTCTGGTCAAGGGCACGTCCCTGGGTTACAGGTTTAATCCCCAGCCCTGGTTGGGGTCGTGTGGAAAGCAACCGATTGATGTGTCTGTCTCTCTCCACCTCCCTCACTCCCTTCTATTGTCTCTAAAAATCAATGGAAAAATATCCATGGGTGAGGATTAACAAAAAAGAAAAAGAAACAGCAGGCTGGCAGGTTGGGCCCAAGAGCCATTGTTTCCTGCTCCCCACTCTGGACCAGTCAGTGCGATGGAGAAACCCAGCTGGAGTCTGGGGTGAAATGGCAGATACCCAGAGTGTAAGACGGAGAAATGTACGGTCCCACGTAGTAGTCCCCTTGGGCTTGGTGGTCTAAGGCAGGAACACAGAACAGTAAATGGAAACTAAACAGAAGGAAGAAATAAACCTACATTTTCTAAACATGGCATTAAGAAATCAGTAAAAGTGGTCTGTGTGCCCCTTAGTGGTCTCTGTGTGAAGTGTTTTCGAGGTGCTATGTCCATCTTTGAGTGAAGGGTGGAGGGCCTGGCTGGTAGCTTCTCCTGCCAGACCCAGGTCTTTTGCTCTGAAGACAGACACCTCTGAGGAAGCCTCCTGAAGTCCTCACATAGCCTGGAGTCGTCGTCGGTTACAGACTCCAGATGCCAGGTGTTAACCCAGTAGTGCCTGTTAATGACTTAAGTATTTATTCGCATAGAAATTTGGTTTTGTTTACTTACTCTGAAGCCAGAATTCTTTACATACTGTCAATTTGCCACCGATTTAGTTGTCATATAATCTCTTAGTATTTCTAATGATTCAACTATATTAAGAAAACTGCGGGGAAAGAGTAATCCCAGAGAAGGAACAGGGCTCCTAGGGCATCGGAAGCTCCGTGATTCCTGGCTCACGTGTCACATCGCCTTCTGGGTAGGACAGCGAGTCAGCTGGGGTTAGTTGGTTCTTGCCCCAAGGGCTCACTTAGGTGCCCCAGTGGGTGGTACGGTGATCGCGTCCCCGCAGGTCCCTCCACTCTGCCAGGGTTGGGCTCTGACCAGTCAGAGGTGAAGGGATGAGGTGCAAGGACCCCAGTGAGTGCTTCCCGCCCTTCGCTCCCTCAGACACGCTCAGCTGCGTGGCCTCACCGGGCACCCTCTATCACAAAGAGAGACGGGCTTCTTGCAGTGCAGATAGACGATCGGTGGTAAAGGTGGTGGCCTTGATGCTTTAAATATCTGATTCTTTGAAGTCTGAGTGACATTATTGTGTTCCCTTCACTAGATTTAATGTCAGAGGAACAACAATAGGTGCTAGAATAATGAGGTAATTCGGTCTGTTCCTTCGTTACCTACTTTTCTCTATGACGGATTTGCCAGGCCCTCTCCTCACAGCTAACCCTTCCCTGTTAACAGTTAACACTGCTTCCTGGAGCTGGCCGAGCTCCTCAGGGCCGAGCCCTTGGAGCAGGTCGCTGTGCACAAGCTCTGGCTGCATGCACCGCATGGGGTCGCGGGAGACATCGTGTGCCTGTGTGACGTGCTCGCTTCGCGTGTCCCTCCGTGAGGGGCTCGGGTGCTGTGCTCTGAACGGTGGCGACTTGCTTTGAGTGTGCTGAGTGCAGCCCACGGTATTGAACACACCCAGCTGGGCGGCAGTGGCCACTTTTGTCGTTATCTCCTTTTCCTTGAGGTCAAGAGCTAAAAGGACTTAGTCTAATTCTGTGCCTAGGCTCAAGGATGGTTTTTTTAAAGCTGTATTCTTATAAGTACCCTAATAAGTTAACAAGGCCACACATGCAGGTGTTAACACAACTCTCAGACACTTCTGCAATCCGAAGGCGAACACTGGGGACATTCTTAAATATGACATTGATGTCAATCTCGGCCCATTGTTCACGTGAAACCTGGTGTACTGACAGATCCAACCTGGGCCCTGGTTCTAGTGACAGGTCCGTTATTCACCATCTGTTCCCAGAACAAAGTGGGGTGTCAGACACAGTGTATAGCAACAGTCGGGAATGTGGCAATGGTGGAGTTCCCCACGGGGACCCCAGAGATGATTAAATAATCCCAACTGTTGTGGATGCTTGAAAATCCCAGGCCCGGTGGGGGTTCTCGTGTAAACGTCTCAGAATTGTTTTTGATTTGGGGCTGGTGTTTTTAGGCTTTTAACATGAAGGTATGTTTGAAGTAACTTACTGCAAGTTAGTCTATTGCCACTTACCACTTTCTAGTTACAGGACAGTGAAATGGAATTTGTTTCAGGGCTTTTTGATTTTCCGGTTTATACTTTATCTCAAGTTCTCAAAGCCAGTTTCTGCTCTTATAGGGAAGCAACTAAAAAATATTACGTTGCTTTAAAGAGCCACAGAAAAGCTCAGCCAGTGAAGCGGAGATTACTGTGAACTGATCAGCAGCGATGAGCAGAAAATGTGGCCTTTACCTTGCCTCAGAGGCAGTGAGGTTAGACTCCTCTGCCTCAGTTATTCTTCTTACACAGAGATTGTCTGGGGACACTTCTGAGGACACGGCAGCCTCTCTCTGCCCTCGTTCCTTACCCTGTTTTTGTCTTCCATTGTTTTCTGCCTTTTGTGATTTTCAGTATGAGTCCTTTTCTCTCCTTTATTTATTTTTATTTCCCCTTTATTGATTTTAGAGAGGGAGAGAGAGATAGAAACATCGATGAGAGAGAACATCTATTGGCCATCTCCTGCACGCCCCCCACTGGGGATTGGGCCCACAACCTGGGCATTTGCCTTGACCGGGAATCGAACCAGCGACCTCCTGGTATGTGGGTTGATGCTCAACCACTGAGCCACACCAGTTGGACCATTTTCTCTCCTTTCTTGGTGTTATTTTTTTTACTTCTTTCAATGGCTGCCCAAAAGTTGACTTCTGAAATATTCCATGCTTGTTAATGTCTTTTGTGAATTTTAAATCATGTGCTGAATTAGTATAACCAATCATAAGAGAACTGATAACTCATATTCTCAAAAACAACTTTGCAGACAGCAGGCTTTTGAGGAACATGTGTTTGCTGTTTGTCGTTGTTCCAGTGTGTCCACACGTGTCCCTGGGAAGCTTGAGTGTAAGGAGCGCTGTCTCCTACATAGGCCCACGGGAACCCCCGTGGCGCCTGCTCTCCTGTTCTGCCACCGACACGCAGACGCCTTTTCACCTGACAGACGCCGCACAGAGACCCATTTGTGTTCCCTTTATCTCACTGTTAGTAAAGCTGAGCATCTTTGTACATACTGACTGACTATTCATTTCTTCTGTCATTTTCCTGTTCATGTCTTTTGCCTGTTTTTCTGTTACAATGTTTGTTTTTCTTACTGACTTACAGACGTGTTATATATTTTGGATTTTTGGTCTATTACAGGTCGAACTACAATGTTTTAAATAACATGTACAAACTAACACACGTATTAAGTTACTCTGGGGTTAGGATAAGTCTCTCCCAGCAAGTCGATCATTCTTAAGGAGAGCCCGTCCTCTCAGTCCCAGCCCTGTCCCCACCGAGAGTTAGGGGGTGGCCGCCCCGGCCGCCCCGGGCCAGTGCTCCACCCCGGGGCCGCACAGATGCTCTGGGAAGGTCTTTCTGTTGCACTTTGCTCACGGTCGTTCTCTCGCCTCGTCTGCTCTTCCCTGGGGCATCTTGAGGGAAGCCTAAACCATCAGTCTACCTCTTGCTATTACCGTTGCCTTGTTTCCTCCTGGCTTCTCTCTGCGCCTTGGATTCCCTCATGTAGAGAGGAGGAGACAGGTCCTGGCTGGACTGGTTTTATCCGTGGTCCCCGCACATGGATCTGCCTGGATGACGTTCTTCTGAAAGAGCCCGCAGCCCGGCGTGCGCATGCTCCGCCCCTCACGGTCTCGGCTGGCGAGTCCCCGTGACCGCTCCACTAAAACGTCTTGGCCAGTAACTCGACTAGTCTCGTGGAGTCGCACCGCTGTGTCTGCCTTGGATGCTTTCCGTGGGGGCCTGAGATGACGCGGTCCGAGCGTCTCCTAGACCCCTGGCTCCGTGTGCGCCCTGCGCTCCGCAGCGCCCGCGAGTTTCTCACGTGTTCGCTGTTTCTCTTCCCCGGTGTGACCGCAGACGCTCCGCCGTCGCCCGCATCCAGGAGTTCTTCCGCCGGAGGAAAGAGAGGAAGGAGCTGGAGGAGCTGGACACCCTGAACATCAGGAGGCCGCTGGTGAAGATGGTCTACAAGGGTCACCGCAACTCCAGGACAATGGTACGGCGCCGGGCCCGCGGAGCGCTGCGCAGCGTCCGGGCTGCTGCACGGCCGCCCTCCCTGCCGCGCAGTCCCGCGGAAGCTTCTGGCACCTCCCTGTCCCCTCGTGACCCGCGCGTGTTCTCGTCCTGTGAAAGGCCGTTATTTTCACGGGAACACTCCCCGACCCAGGCACTGTAGAGTTTTTAGATTTGCAGCTTCTACAAGTGGCTGCTGCTTGCTCGCTCCCTCCCCCTGTCCGCGACCTCCCCAGGAGGTGCTTTCGGAGAGGATGGTTTGGAGAGAACCCCAGAGTCGTCAGAACACGAGCAGGGCGTTAGCGCCCCACTCGGACTGACAAGAAAAGATTTGTGTTCGTCCCGTGTTCCCTAGACTCGGTCTCCTCACCTGCGAAGTGCACAGGAGAGACCGGTGACCTCTGCGGTCTCCTGTCCCCACAGTCTGCACCGCGGAGTGACTGGTGTGTCATGACGGTGACTCAACCACTTACTTCGAGACAGCGCTGTTCTCACGCTCACGGAGTTCCCCAAGCGTGTCTACAGAATTGGTTTCCATCTGCTTTCTGACTCCAGGGGAGGGAAATGAGCTCTCTGTAGAAATTCTCGGTAGTACAATTTAGTCATTCAAAAAGAATAGTGTTATAACTAGAACTGACCAATCACATTTCTTGCATTTTGCTGGTTAAATTTTGGAGGAAGGTTAACTAGGGGCTGGAATGAGGGAAAAAACAAGATAAGTAAATAAAATAATAGCTTTAAGTGAGAACAAAACTGGCTCCCCCTTTGCTTTGTCAAAACTAGCGAAGGAGCAGGTGCAGCTAAGATGCCGGGAGCCCCGATGTACAGTACGGAGGTGGTGGTGGTTCGTGGTATGCGTCCACACGGTGTCCTTGCAGCCACGCCAGTCGGTCACATTCCTCTGTCTCATCGCTTCATAAGTTCATGTGTTTATATCTTTCCTTCCCAATTCTGAGAGCTTCGGGTAGCTAAGAAAAAGACAGGTCCTTTTGTTCTACTGTCCAAAAGCCAGAAATTTCATCCGTTCAGTTAGCAGTCAGTCAGTTCACCTACTGTATGCTAAGAATCGTTTCGGGCACTGTAAACAGCCCTGAACAAAGCCAGCCCCTGTCCTCGTGGGGGACTCCCCATTACTGCGGCTGAGTTCCCCCGGCTAATAAATCTCTGTCCGATTCAAAGATACTGGAAGACAGAGACACTCTTCAATTTGCATTTGACTTACTAAGCCAATTAATCATTTAACATGAGAATAGAATAAGTATTCTTTTAACTTTGATTTGAGTTTTCTTGTAATTTTCTTTTTTAAAACCCTCAGATAAAAGAAGCCAGTTTCTGGGGCACTAACTTTGTGATGAGCGGCTCTGACTGTGGCCACATCTTCATCTGGGACCGGCACACCGCCGAGCACTTGATGCTTCTGGAAGCCGACAATCACGTGGTGAACTGCCTGCAGCCACATCCCTTTGACCCAAGTAAGGGGCCTGGTGTGAGGCGGGGCCGGGAGTCATGACCCTGGCTCATCACTGGGGGGGGCGGGGGGCGGGGTCTGGGTAATGCAAGAGTAATCTGAAGTATCTGTAGGTAGCTGGCCGGGGGAGTCTGTATAGCTCTGCTTCGTTTTAAAACAAAAACACCCTTATTATCTGCTTTTGGCAGGAAGTATGGGGAAGTAGTGTATTCTTCCAATACTTCTTCTACACTGTATTAGCTGTAAGAGGTCGGCTGATTGAACTTCTCACTACTTATCCAGGTAAACCTTCGAAGGCAGCCTGGCTGGCTCTTGCCTTCCATTGGAAGTTGCCCATATTTCTCATAAAAGATCAATGAATACGAAAGAAATTTGAGTCATTCAGGATGGTCTTAAAATTATAGCTAGGGCCACTTTTAGGAAATCTCCGAAACCCTCTTCTGAGCTCACAGCTGTCTCAGTCCCTCCGAGCTGGAGTGTTCGGTGAGCTTGTTGCCGCCGAGCAGGCCTCACACCACCGCAGGTCGGTCCTGCCACCTAAGCGAACGACGTCCGACAGAACCAGGCCACAGGTTGATTGTTACAAGAAGAGTTGAGTTTCTGTGGCATCTCATCAGTGCTACAATGAAACTACGTTGAACGAATCAAAAGGATGTTATTTGAGTCCCTGCTGTCTGTGCATATGTACATACATATGTACGCATGTCCACATACGTACGTGTCTGCATAGGCACATGCATATGTACAAATATACATGTGTGTGCACACACACACATGTGCCTGTGTGCATATCTCGAATGAAAGAGATGTGTTCTGAGCTTATGTTGATACGTAGTTTTCATTTCTAGTTCTAGCCTCGTCCGGCATTGACTATGACATCAAGATCTGGTCACCACTGGAAGAGTCTAGGATTTTTAATCGGAAACTTGCTGATGAAGTAAGACGTTTATTATACTTACATATTTATGTTGTTTTACTGTGTTCCTGAAATGCTTTCTTGAGAAATATCAAAGCAGCTCCATATTAGGTGGTGACATAGAACAAGGTGATACAGGTGAGGAGGTCAGTCTGAAGAAGAGGAGAGTTGAGATAAAAACATACCTCCAGTACTAGAGCTAAACGTGGACTGTGTTTTGCTCCTGAGAAGACAGTGTTCTAACACCAGGTCAGGTGTCTTGTAGTTCAAGGAAATAGCTTGACTGCGCCTGTTGCAGTCACCAGTCGTTCAGGAAACGCTGCCCTTGGGGCAATCGTCGTGCTGCGGCGTCTCCCACCGTCAGGTGGTTGGCAGCACCCACGAGGAGAGTCTTTCCTGTATCGTGGTACCTTAAGGTTCCCTCCACTTGCAGTGAAATCGGCCGTTCTCCGCCGCTCCGCGAAGGTCTGTTTTGGGGCACTGGGTGGGAGGGCGAGCGCCGCGCCCTTCCCCCAGCTCCGCCAGCGTTTCCGTGGGGAAGATGCTTACCGTGGCTCAGGTGCGCCGATGAACCAGCTGCTGAGCTCCCGTGGGTGGGGGAGGGCGCTCAGGTTGCTGTTTCTCCCTCTAAGTGAGTAGGTACGCAAGGGGCCGTCGCTGAAAATGCTAGGCGGTGGGTGACAGCGCCTCAGAGCAAGGCTGACGGCGCAGCACAGTCCCCACGTGCTGTCACCGTCTCGTGGACGTCCACACAGCACTGGTGTGTGTCGGGCCCGTGCCCAGGTCATAGACAAACCCTGCGCTCGGGCCCGTGGCGAGAGGGAACGGGGGGGGGGGGGGGGGGGGGGGGCCCCGCAGGCCGCCATGCGGACGCTCGCCCAGCTTGGCAGCCTGTGGGCGGAGTCAGTGGGTGGGCGGAGTCACCAGGACCGAGTTCACCAGGGAGCAGAGGGCGCTGGGGACGGGGTCAGCACGGTCCAGGCTGTTAGGAGGTGAAGGAAACATCCGTGTGCAGAACCTACCGCGCTGGGAAAATCGCCCTGTCGCACTGAGAAGCTCATTTGGGGCAGGACCTGAAAGGGCCCCGTGGGGACCCCGGTGAGCGGAGAGCATGCTGTCCTTTCACGGGGACTGCTGGCCAGGTGGCCTCGCTCTCAGGCTCCCCTTCCTCACCCTGCCCTTCCTTCTCCCTTCCCTTGGCCCGCGATGACACCGCGGACCCTCGGTGTCAGGGCGACTCATAGTCCCGCCCTTCCTGCTTCAGACACGAGTCCTTGGTACCTCTCGTCCAGAGGGTTTTTTTTCAAGATTACTTTGCCTCAGTCAAGGTAACAAACTCTCAAAGGCTCCAGGTGTGCCAGGGACAGTAGCGTAACTGCTGTGCCCTGGAGGTTCCAGTTCTGCGCTGGGGCAGAATGAGTGGGCACAGTGCAGACTGTTCTACTAGCCAGAGTGGCTGTCTTCCTGCCTCCTGAGCAAGGCGTGCCCTCTGGCCCACTCCTCACGTGCAAGTCGAAGGAACAGCTGGGTCTTGAGACTGCGTGCACAGAGCGATGCAGGACCTGTGCTAGTTTTAACCAGTCTGCTCCTCTTCAGGGAAAGGTGCGGTCATTCCGAGGTGTTTGACGTGCTGGTTAACTCCCCCAGGTCATCACCCGGAACGAGCTCATGCTGGAGGAGACGAGGAACACCATCACCGTGCCCGCCTCCTTCATGCTGAGGATGCTGGCCTCCTTGAACCACATCCGCGCTGGTGAGCACTGTCGGCGTCTGGTCACATCGTGTCTGTGTTTGCAAAGCATGGTGTTGCAGGTTTGCCTTAAAGGGGTTTACGTAGTTTCCGTTCATCACGAAACGAAAGCAGCTCATTAGCACAGTAACTGATTTCCTGATTTATTGGGAGGCATCACAATGAAAAGACAGAGTCACCTGAACACTTTTATCCACTGTGCTTCTCCTCCGAGTGGAGGCTCCTACCCTGAGCCTTAGGCTCTGTCATCGCAAAGGCCCTGCAGTGGTCCCTTCGCTCCCAGTCGGGCAAGCTCGGAGGAAAGAAGGGTGACGTGCTGGGAGCATGAGCAGGTACCTCTGTGCTCTCCCCAATGTTGTGTTGTCTTAAATGATCCATGAGGTTCAGTGCCACAGATCCCACAAGATGCACGAATTAGAACTAGTGTTCAAGAAGGAACCCAGTCATCTGTGTTCATAACAGAGAGAAGTCCCAGTATCCATCGTAAACAGAGATGCCCCTCGGACAAGTGCTCATCACTGCGCACTGGTTTTATAAATTAAATGTCTGCCTGTGCTGGGCACCGTCTGTGAATTAGTGACAGTGACGACGTGCACAGAGCCCTGTGGGGCGGGCACCAGACGAGTCACGTTACAGACCCACCCTCTCTGGCTCCGACCCATCTCAGCGGGGCTCTTTGTAATGACCTTCAGGCCACATCACTGAACAATGGTAAAGCATCTGTAGGTGTTTTTTAGTAATATTTATGTTTAGAATTACGTTAATTTTCAAAGTTAATAATGCTGTTTTCTTTACTTTTAAAAAATTTCCCTCTAGAGGCAAAAATAACTTACACACACACAGTGGTGAATTGATTTTTGCATGATGATGTGTTGAGCTCTCTACATTTTAAGCAGTTTTAAATAGAAGGCATTGAAGACGACCCTACTGCAACCCTGACAGGATTTCCTTGTGATCTCGTATCTTTTCCAGACCGGCTGGAAGGGGACCGATCAGAAGGCTCTGGTCAGGAGAATGAGAACGAGGATGAGGGGTAGCAGCCCTGGGTGGCCAGCACTGAAGATGCTTTGAAATTTGTATAAGACATTTATTATATTTTTTTCTTTACAGAGCTTCAGTGCAATTCTAAGGTTATGGTTTTTGGAGCTTTCCCCTTTGGGGGAATAACCTGACTTTGGTGTGGAGTGACTGTGTGCATGAACTTGGGGGAGTGTGTGAAAAAAACTAGCAGGATGTTTAAACCTGAGTCCTGGTTGCCAGGGAAGAGGAGTGCTAGCAACGGAAGTGCAATACTCCCAGCCTCCAGATGGGGGAGCTTGGATCACCGTTGCAGAGCAGTTTTCATGGTAGTGACAATGTTGGTTCAAATAAATTTCTACACTTGCCATTTGCATGTTTGTTGCTTTCTTATTAAAGAAGCTGGTTATTGTAAGATCTCCTGAATTTGACTTTGTATTTAATGCCTTGTTACCCTGACCTGTGTTTTCTCATCTTTTGTGTAACATCAGACTGTTTCTCAATTTTTTTCTAGTTTTAATGATCTTTTCTGTTTTGACATGTCTCATTGCAAAGTCCTTCGTCTTCACCGTCCATCATCATCTAAATGATTAGTGGGACCTCGCTGCACGGACAGGAGCCAGGCTCCAGGCAGAGATCCGCCTCCTGGGAGCTTACCCGGTGCGGTAGGGCAGGCTGGTCCCCGAGCTCCGCCCTGGGCTTCCTGCCTCCTGCTTCCGTGAAGGTCGGCGTCTTAGTTCCTGGTTTCCGATGAGTTCTGTGACCTGCGGAGGCCACCTGGCTCGTCTGGGCTCCCGTTCCGTCTCCTCTAAAGTGGGGGCAGTCAGATTTGCAGCCCCAGGTCCCAGGGCCTGTGTTAGGGCCACAGCCAGAGAAGCAGGGGCTTCACCGAATGACAAAGTGCTAGTCAGCGCACTGGGACAGCGGTTCTCCCGTGAAGTGCAGCAGGCCCGGGAATGCTGCGGACACCTGTGCACAGGTGCTGGAGGCCTCCCTGGGGTCAGGAGCACGCAGGAAAGCAGCCCCAGTCAACATGACGCGTGTGCACTCTGGTGCAGGGTGGGAGGGGGCGGAGGGCCTTTCTGCTCAGTTTTGCTAGGAACTGAAAACCGCTCTAAAGCTGCTCCTTCTTCTTCTCAGTGGTATTTGTCGAAGGAACTAGGTCTCCTTTCAGCGGTTTTGCAGAGCTTGAGTTTGTGTGGTACAAAGGAACCGTCTAGGCCAGACCAGCAGGCAAGGGAGCAGAAGGAGAATGTGCTCGAGGCAGAGTCAACACGTCCTGGCCATGGCTTGTGTGTGCTGGGGGTGGGGGGGCAGCAGGTTGGACGACGGGGGAGGGGGGCCAGCAGGTTGGACGACTGGGGTGGGGGGGCAGCAGGTTGGACGACTGGCCCCAAGCTCACCCACGCCCTCAGCAAAAGGGGCTGTGCTCGGTGGTGATGGGGGAGGGCTCTGGTGGAGGTGGCGGGTGTGAGGCTCAGTGATGGTCGCCACCGGCCCTTGACCTTGGCTATGGGGTGGACGTACGGAGAGCACTGCTGCTCACAAAACCTCCTGTAAAAACGGGGTAGGTTGGGCCTAGCTGTTCTGTATTTCACGATATTCCATGAATTTCACCGTTTTGGGGGAATTTTGAAAACACACGCAGGGATGTACCCAAGTGACTGGTATGGACCCTGCCCCCCAATTCTATAACAGCCTTTCCTGCTCAGTCTCCTTCCTCTTGTTAGCCCATGGGAAGGGGGGAGGAAATGGGGTATGGAACATGGGGTGAAGAGGATGCCCCCAAAAGCCCACAGTCCGCAAGTCCAAGTACAGATTCACAGTTTCCACAGTTTCCAAAACAGGTATTTAATCAGGTAAAAAAAACTATTTTCTTTTTTTTAATCTTCACCCAAGGACATTTTTCTGCTTTTCTGTTCAGATAGAGTGGGAAGGAGAAAGAGGAAGAGAGAGAGAGAGAAAATCAACGTGAAAGGGACACATCGAGTGGCTGCCTCCCGCACGACCAACCAGGGCCGGGGACCAACCGCAACCGCGGTACATGCCCTTAGCGGGAACCAAACCTGGGTCTCTCTGGACTGCAGGCCGACACTCTAACCAGAGCCAAACTGACCAGGGCAACAAAACTATTCTAAATACACCTTTACTTATCTATAAATATTGATTTATAATAATCCTACATATTTTTCTTACCTTTTTAAAAAAAATCACTCCGAAACTTCAAGTGAAATATATTTCAGGACGAGCTTGTCATTTTATTTCAGGATTGGACTTTAACCAGTTGCATCCCGGGTTTCACCACCAGAACCCAGCACTGGCCGTCAGCGTCCACATGCTGGCAGACGCTGTGCGTGGCGTGGGCACAGGCTCAGCCCACTGTGCTGGGGGCCCTGCCTGCCCCCACCAGCCGGTGCACCTCCCTGGCTGTCCTTGTCGCGGGAGGGGCCGGCTCGCCTGTGATTGGTGACATTTCACAATGGTGGTGTCAGAAGGGAAAGCAAATGGCCTCTAATTCCCAAGCTGTTCATACTGCTCAGGCACATGCTTTCCGGGGGAAATGAGCGGCTTTGTGTATGACCCGAAAACATCACAGCCAACATGGTGCGCTCACTGATCGGGCGGACCGGAGGCTGTGCTCCGGGGAACCCAGCCGGGCTCCCTGGGCCTGCGGTTCCTGTCGGCCTGCAGGCAGGTGTTTCGTCTCCCAAGCTCTTTCCACAGGATAAAGCCCGGCTGGCCTGTCTTCTCAGCCACGTGGCCAGACCTGGCCTTTGCCCCTGACACTGGTTCACGCCATTGAGACCTCGGCAGTTTCTCCACTTCCTAGGCCTCCCTGGATGCTGTGTCCGTCCCCCCAGGAGTGTCGGGCTCTGCCCCTCCTGTGCCAACATAGGGCTGTGTTCACTGACATTTTCCTTTGCTTCAGGTGAAAACGGCTTTTCTTCCCGGCCCCACAATTCACCTGGGGTTCTGCACGCCCGGGAACAGTGGCATGGGCTCCTGTCCCCGCACTGCCTCTTCCTCCGGGTGGGGGGTCGGGGAATCTGAGCCCGAGCCACCGCCAAGCAGTCACTGTCCCTGCAGGACCCAGCTGGCTGTGGGACCCAGGCCACGTCTCAGGGGGGCCTCTCTTCTGGGCTGTCATGGGGTCTACTCCAGGCCCTGGGGCCACCATCCTTGACGGACACTGTGTGCTTCCTCAGACTTCTGCAGCTCCTGACGCCACGCAGCCCTTCCCCTTCCTCACCAGGTCCCTTCGTTCCCGGAAGAGCCTCTGTGCTGTTCAGCACAGGACAGTCCCCATGGCAGCAGGCTCCACAGCTCTGATCTAGGGCGACAGCTGTCTCAGAGGTCCCTGTGAGACCAGGACAGACACCCACCTGCAGTACGGACGAGAGACAGCGGCTCCGCACCACTGTGTCCCATCTGCACTGGGTGCTTTAATCCACGCAACACCCCCCACCCCGGGGAGGCCCTGCGTTCTGCATCCCCATAGAAACAGTTTCAAACCTCACAGATGAGAAAACCAGTGCAGAAACATGAGCCACCCGGGGACACCCAGCTCAGCAGCAGCAGCAGGGTCTGAACCCAGAACGTAGCCTCGCAAAGCACTGTCCCCACGCAGCACCCCCATGGGCGTGCATGAGCGCCCCAGAAGTGCCCAGTTAGAGCCGCACCGTGCGCACAGGATGGTGCAGCCTTTGGTAGCCACGCCACCCTCAGTTCCTTCCAGACAGCACCGCGGGGCCAGGGCTGGACACGTGGGGAGTGTGTCCTGGGTCTCGTGTGTGGGCATCTCCGGGACAGTTGGGCGGGAACATATTCCTGCAGTTAAGCCTGAGCAGGCTAAGGTCTCTCACTGTGTGGAGCACATTTCTCCCCACTCCTGTCCCCCCCCTTCCCTGGCTGACTGCAAATACTGATGAATCTCACTGGCTGCTCAGGTGTTGGCAGAGAGCACACAGCAGCCCCGTGGATGGGAGAGGGCATTAGCACCAACTGGCCCTGGTCTTGGCCCTCAACCCCAGCTCCTGGCAGTTGCTGAAGATCTCCTAGCTGAGCAGGGACAGAACCGGCAGCCCCGAGTGGGGTCATGGGTAAGCAAGCTGGTGGCCCTTTAAAGCTGAGGACCACAGTGGAGACAAGGGCAGAGCCCCAGCTCTGCAGGAACCCAGCCTTCAGGTGTATTCTTAGCGCTTCTCACTGCTGCCACCTGGTGTCTACGAGGCTGAATCGCAGTTCTCCCAGGCCAGGGAACCGGCTGGGTGCTGTGGTGTGGGGCGCCCAGTGAGTGCCTCGGGGTCACGACCGCCCCCAACCCTGGAACCTGGGGCACGGCACGGGGACACGTCAGGTGGCAATCTCAATGAAAAATGCAGAGATGGGCAACAGCCCCAAACCTTGAGACACAGGAGGCAGGTTTTGGAGAAGTGGCCAAAAGTCCTACCCACCACTGCCATGTAGCCTCTGCACAGAAGCATAAAGCTATGGGCCTAGGTTTCAACCTGCAGTGGGGGCAGGAGTCCCAGAAGTGCCCCTCAGAAGCTTCAGAAGCAGGGGATTCCCCCACTCCTCCCCCCAAGGCTGAATCAGCAAATTTGGATTCTGATTATGCAGAATATGGTTCTAGCTGCCAAACATCCTCAAGGCTTGGCTCAAGCTGCCATCTCCATGGAGCCCCCCCGCCCCCCCCATCCCATCCCCCCCCCCCCCGCCCCGTGCCCACAGTGCTCCGGATAATCATTACTCGACTTGGCTATTTATTAGTACCGGTGATCCCCAGGTCTCTCCCTCAATGAGTGAAAACACGTTCACGCTACTGCTCACAGGGCTGAGCTTGGAGCTTTGCACAGTGGACCTGAAGGTTCTCGCGGGTGAATACATGAATGGTCCTCAGTAGAAAAAAGAACACAGTGAGTCCTTTTGTGAAGTGTGGTATTTCTAGATAAGCTTAGGTTTAATCCTAGTAAATCCCAGCTAGTCTGGGACCAGCCATTGGGGACTTGGGCTAGGTCTCCCTAGAGCTAGGTCTGCCCAGTGCAGTCCAGGGGATGCACACTGCACCCCTGGGTTCTGAGCCAATTTGCTGCACTCAGGAAGGCCTCCCTGGGAGGCGCCCAGGTTTTTCCACACTGTAGGTGAGGGCCTCCGCCCAGCTCCACTGCCGCAGGCCCACTGATCCGACATGGTCCCTTTACAGACGGGCCAGGAGTAGATACAGAAAGAAAATGCAAGGTGCTCTCTGACCGAGGAATGCCACCTGGGTGAGGCATCCCCAGCCCCCTAGCTGGGGACAGCTGACCTGCACACCTCCTTACGGAAGCTCCTTCCCTCTCCCGCCCAGAACCTACCCGCTGCCTGGCGCCTGGCTGGCCCGATCCCACTGCTAATGAGCCTGAGCACCCAGGCCTCGGCACAGGTCTTTGCAAACTGCCAAGCACTGGTGTCCACACGGCAGAAAATCACTGCCTCCCCAGCAGCCAGTGAGCCCGCTGGAGTGGCCGCCGAGGGGCAGAGTCGATGTCGACTGGCACCTGGGACTCTGAGGGCAGAGCCAGCCCTGCCCTTAGCTTTGTCGTCACCCAGGCTGCGGGGCAGACAGGTCATTCAGAGATTTCCCCGGTCACCAAGGCCACCACTCCGAGCCCCACCTCGCTGCCGCTTCAGCGCCAACGGGACGGGGAGGTCTACCAGACGAACCCACTCCACCTCGGAGGAGGCATCTATTCCACGTTGCAGCCCGGCAGGCGGCACTGCGGAGACCAGCGGGGTGTCGCACACCTGGGCCTGCAGTCTCTGCTCGCCTTCGAAACCCCGGAGGCTGTGCCAACGTGGGTCCCATTTCCTATCTCAAACTCACAGAGAACATCAAACACCGATCACAGTTGGAAATGACCTTGGAGACCATTCACTCTGCCGCCCCCTCCCCCCCATGCTCCCCACAGCCTAGCGAGGTGACAGAAGTCACAGGTGGTGTGAGTCAGGAGAGGTGGAGCTGGGCCGGAGTGCAGGTGCCGACCCCAAAACCCGCCTTAGCTCGTGTCAATCAAACGTCACAGGGGAGTCCAGGGGTGTTCTTCTGTGAAGGGGCGTCCCTCCAGCGACCACAGTGCCTCTACACCCTGCCTGCGGCACCAGAGCCCCGTGCAGGCGTGCTGGGTCCATGGCGTGTCCTAACCAACTGCACTGTGGTTTGAATTCTGGACGTGAAGCATCTGATACCCACTTCCTCCTCCGGTCTCTTAAAGTGGTTTCTCCCTTCTTTTGAAACAGCACAGAAGCAGTGAGCAGGGAGGTGGCCGGTGACTGCCCGGTGAGCACCAGCGTGTGGCGCCACTGAGGCAAGGTCTCAGCCAGTGCCCAGGTGTGGGACTGGACATGGGGCTCTGCTCCTGGGTTCTCCCCTAGGGACTCCACACGGCCTGATTCGACCCCGCAGAAGCCTGGGGTGCCATGCGCCCGGTGCACAGGGAAGGGCCCCCCGAGCCTCCCTGGGGGCAGTGCATGCTCACCCGGGTGCAGATGGTTCCTTCCCAGCCTGGTCTCAGGTCCCCCTCTGGGCCCCCCCTCCCAGAAAGTCATGGCCACACCTCACTGGCTTTTCTTTGTGCTTTTGATGCCCCTGGTCCGGTCACTGGGACCTGGGAGAAGCCCACGGGCAGGCTCACACAGACACGGAAGTCTCTGACCACGGACACAGTTCTCGGTGCTACTGCTGGTAGCTGTTCCTGCCCCGTGCTCGGCTCAGGCGGCCATGGGCATCCGCCGTGGGGACAGGCCACTCGAGGCCCTTACGGCTGCTCCGCAGCTAGGACGTTCCCTTCCTCGATGCTCTGCAGCTGGAGCCTCTGACTCCCGGGGGTCCGGCTGCCTCGGCGGCCCCCAAAGCCAGCCCCCGGGACAGTCCTTGCCACCATCAAGACCCCCGGCAGAGCCTCCTCCCCAAATAGGTTGATTTTGGCTTCTGCCTCTATGGCTTTGGCCAAGCTGTCCGCGTAACTGTCCAGGGACTTGTGCACATCGGCCTTCACGAGGATGATGGGGTTCTTGGCAGCTTCTGGGGGAGAAGGAAGGGAAGGTTAGCGGGGGCCAGGACTGTCCTGGGGAGGCAGACCCAGGTGGAGGGCAGGGTTCCCAAGTCAGATTCCCGCGGCCACGTCTCTGACCCCTCCTTCCTGCCGGGGAGATCATACGAGGGGTCACCCTGGCCTCAGGTCCTCTGTACAGAAAGCGTGATCCCCCTCTCGTCGTGGGGTTTCTGTGACCACTGAGCCATCCTTCCCAAGATGCTTAGCCTGGGCCTGGCTCACAGAAAAGGCTTGATAAATGCCTCCTACTGACGATACTCCAATCTTACATCTTCGAGAGGTCTCTGGTGGGCTCCCTGGAGCGCATGACATCCATGGTCCCAAACGTCCACGAGTCTGAGCTGTCTCCCCCCTCTCCGGGCTCAGTCCCTGGAGCCCTGCACGACTTGTGTCGGGAGGGACACCGAAGGTTTGGGCCTCACCCAGGATGTGGACCCGACAAAGTGAAGAGAAGCGGGGGCGGGGTGAGTCCTCAGTTTCTCCTCCAGTGCCTCTGACTGAGCCTCCCTGCCCCCTTCCTTCCCGACGCCTGGCGGAGCAATGTACCCCCTGCGCCTTGTGTTCTGGAGCAGGCAAGGTGCACCCCCTTCCCCAAGGGGAAAGAGCGGGCTATGCACAGCCTCTCCCTGCCCCGCCCCTCGCTCTGGGGGGACGGAGTCGTCTGAGGACGTGTGTCCGTGTGCAGCTCCACAGCCCCCGTGTGCCCAGCTCAGAAGCCGCCTGACCAGACAGCTGGGATGTGAGAACAGCATGGGGTGGGCAGGGCCGGGGGCCCGGGGGTGCTGCAGGCAGGGTCGGGATGAGCCAGGAGCGTCCCCAAGACCCGCCCCTCTCCCCTCCGTTGTCCGGACGCTGTCAGCCACAGAAACCCACCTTTGATCTGTTCCACTTCGTCCTCGAACGTCACCGAGCTCCTCCTCTTGGGTGGGCAAGTGCAGTGGGAGGAAGGCTGGTCATCCGACGTGTAGCCTTCGAGCAGCATCACATCTGTCCCTAAAACCGAGGGACACAGAACCGCTGTCTGAAGTTTCCCCCCCGCCACCGCCTCCTCACCCGCTCTCTCGACCCCTGGGTCCCTTTCTCCCGTGGACTGCGACCCACAACCGAGTGTGCGGAGCTGCTGTGCTGCCAGCCCGGGGCTGCTTCAGCCCCACAAGTCACCGGCCTGGCAGAGCGGTGGGTCGTGAGCCCCGCCCAGCACACCAGAGCACTCGGTGGGCCAGACCTGGACCCGGGGAGGGGGGAGGGCTGCGTGGAGGAGAGGGTCCCAGTAAACGAGCTTTGTGTTCTGAGTGACTCTTCTTCCAGTTGAATTTCTATCATCGTGGTTCAAGTGTGTTGGGCTAATTCAACATCAAAGCAACTGTTTCATTTTTTTCAGTTACAGTTTATGTTCAACATTATATGAGTTTCCGGTGCACAGCACAGTGGTTACACATTTACATCTTGCAGAGTGACCCCCCCATAAGTCTTGCACCCGCATGCAGTTACTACAGTAGTATTGACTATGTCCTCTCTGCTGCACCCGACAGGCCTGTGATGACTTCTGTAACTGCCAATTGATACTTCTTGATCTCTTCACTTTTTACCCCAGCCCAGCCCCACTCCCATCTAGAAACCATCAGTTTGTCCTCTATGAGTTTGTTTTTGTTTTGTCTGTTTGGTTTTTTAGATTCCACATATAGGTGAAATCATATGGTACAGTATTTGTCTTTGATGCATTTCATGTTACCCTCTAGGACCGTCCATGTTGTCACAAATGATAAGATTCCATTCTTTTTTATGGCTGAGTAATATTCCATTGTATATATGTACCCAATCGTCTATCAGTGGACACTTAGGTTGCTTCCATATCTTGGCTATTGTAAATAACTCTTAAATGAAAATGGGTTAATGTTTTGGGTTTTTTTCATATATACCTAGAAGTGGAATTGATGGCTCATACGTTTGTTCTACTTTTATTTTTTGAGAAACCTCCATACTGTTTTCCACAGTGTCTGCACCAATTTATAATCCCAGCAACAGTGCACCAGGGTTCCCTTTTCTCCACATCCTCACCAGCACTTGTTTGTTGATTTATTAATAACAGCCATTCGGACAGGTGTGAGGTGATAGTTTATTGTGCTTTTAATTTGCATTTTCCTAATATTTAGTGATGTTGAGCATCTTTTCATATGTCCACTGGCCATCTGTATGCCTTCTTTGGAGAAATGTCTATTCAAGTCCTCTGCCCACTTTTAAATAAGATTGTTTCTGTTGTTTGTTTTTTGGTAAGTTACATGAACTCCTTATATATTTGGTATATTAACCCTTATCAGATGTATCATTGGTGAATACTGTCTCCCATTTGGTAGGTTGTGCAAAAACTTTTTAGCTTAATGTAGTCTTATTTGTTTATTTATTTAGTTTCTGTTGCCAGAGGAGACATATCCAAAAAGATATTACTATGAGCAATGTCAAAGTGTTTACTGCCTATTTTTTCTTCAAGTTTTATGATTTCAGGACTTACATGTTAAGTCTTTATTGATAGGTAATGTAGTTATTGCCATTTTATTATTCATATTTTGGATTTTTTCTTCTTTTGCTTAAAGAAGTTCTTTTAACATTTCTTGTAATATTGGTTTGATTGTGATGAACTCCTTTAGCTTTTTCTTGTCTGGGAAGCTCTTTATCTGCCCTTCAATTCTAAATGATAGCCTTTCTGGGTAGAGTAATCTTGGTTTTAGGTCCTTACTTTTCATCACTTTGAATATTTCTTTGTGCCACTCCCTCTGGCCTGCAGTTTCTGTTGAGAAATCAGCTGACAGTCTTATGGGAGCTCCCTTGTAGGTCACTAACTGCTTCTCTCAGGCTGCTTTTAAGATTTTCTCTTTGTCTTTAACCTTTGCCATTTTGATGATGATGTGTCTTGGTGTGGGCTTCTTTGGGGTCATCTTGTTTGGGACTCTCTGTGCTTCCTGGACTTGTATGTCTGTTTCCTTCACTAGGGTTAGGAAAGTTTTCAGTCACTATTTCATCAAAGAGATTCTCAATCCTTTGATCTCTCTCTCCTTCCAGTACACCTATGATGCAAATGTTGTTACACTTGATGTTGTCTCAGTGTTTCCTTCAATTGTCCTCATTTTTTAAAATTCTTTTTTCTTTTTGCTCTTCTGACTGGATGTTTTCTGCTACCTTATCTTCCATATTGCTGATTCTATCCTGTCTCATCTAATCTGCTATTGATTTCCTCTAATGTATTCTTTGTTACGGTTATTGTAGTCGTCATTTCTGACTGGTTCTTTTTTGTGGTTTCTGTCTCTCGTATAAGTTCTCATTGAGCCCATCTGTTCTTCCCCCGAGTTACTGAGCATCCTTATAACCAGTGTTTTGAGCTCTGCATATGGTAGATTGTTTGTCTCCATTTCATGTAGTGCTTTTTCTGGAGTGTTGTCCCGTTCTTTCCTTTGGGACATGTTTCTTTGTCTCCTCATTTTAGCTGCCTCCCTGTGTTTGTTTTTATATATTAGATAGAGATGCTATGTCTCCCAGTCTTGGCAGGGTGGCCTTATGCAGTAGGTTGTCTTGAGAGGCCCAGTGGCACAGTCTCCCTCTCCCAAGCTGGGTGCTCCAGGGTTGTCCCTTGAGCGGGCTGTGTACACCCTCCTGTTGTAGTTGAACCTTCAGTGCCATGGCAGGTTAGTGGGTGGGACTGATCCTCAGGCTGACTGGCCATGACTACAGCAGGCGAGCTATTGTGCAAGAACTAACCCCATGGAGCAGGATTCACATTAGTGAGACTCTGGTCCCAGCTGAGTCCATCCTTTTGGTGCATCATTGTGGAGGTAGTTGGGCAGTGCTATGGTGTGGTCTGAAGCTGATGCCTGGGTGGGTTGGTTCTGGGGCCTCTTGGGAGGGGCTCCAGTGCAGGCCAAGGTCAGCCACTGCCTATGCCTGGCCTGAGGCCACCTGCTGGAAACTACAAAGTGATCTGCCAAGGCAGCTACTGGAATTGAAGAGACTATGCTGGTACAGGGCACTCTGCAGACAGTGCTGCTTGGGGGGGGAGGGGGGACCTTTGAGAGATGTTAGGAAAGCCTGCAGCATGAGCAGAGGCTGCAGCATGGGCAGAGGCTGGCCGCTTGGGAGGAAGAGCCACTGAAGGAGGTTCAGCTGGTGCACAAGACGGGTGGAATGAATCACCTGGGTGTGGTGAGGGGTGTGAGCCAGGTTGGTGGAGACTCAGCGGTGATGTCTGCACCTGTAGGCTGGGTGGGAAGAGGGCTCAGCAAAGGCACAATGGCACCTCCAAGCACCTTGGTCCCAGAGAAAGCGGTGTATGTCCAGGTATGTATCCAGTCTCCCCAGGGTGTCCCTGGTACTTTCTGATCTTTTGTCCCTTTGCTAGAGCTTAGGGCAAGCGTTTGTGAGTTCAGACCCTTCGAGAGGAAGCCTGGTCTGCAGCAGCCTTTGTCTCACCCGAATGGAGCCCCTGGCGACTTTCACAGCCTGATATTGTAGGGACTCCTCTTCCCGGTACCGGTGCTCTGTGCGAGGGAGCACAGCACGGGGCTGACACCCCTGCTCCCCAGTGGGCACCCCTGCAACCGAGACATCCCTCCTGATTCTTAACTGCTACTTGTGGTGTGGGACCTGCCCATTCCGTCTCCGCCCCTCCTACCAGCCTCCTCATGGCTTTATGCCCCTAGTTGTGGGAATTCTGCTCAGCTCGTCTTCAGAAGGTTCTCAGTGATGGATGTTCTATACGTTAGCTGTAATTTTCATGTGGTTGTGGGGAGAGAGAGAGAGAAACATCGACGTGAAGGGACACATCGAGTGGCTGCCACCCGCACGACCAACCAGGGCCGGGGACAAACTGCAACCGAGGTACGTGCCCTTAGCGGGAACTGAACCCGGGTCTCTCTGGACCACAGGCCGACGCTCTAACCACTGAGCCAAACCAGCCAGGGCACCTACCCCAGCACCTCGACTGGCAGGCTCTCACATCTTCCAACAGCAGAATTACTGAGCTCGAGCTCCTACGACACACCTCACCTGCTCGAAGGGCACGGGCCGTCTGTCTTCCCACCAGGCTGAAAGCCCAGGAGGCGGGTCACCACTCTGCCCCTGGGACCTAGCACAGTGTCTGGCCGAAGTAGGGGCTTGGCAAGTATTGGTTGAATGGATGAATGAACGTCCTGGCGTCGCTGCGTCCCCGCTGGTGGTCTGAGGGGAATAACCCCAGGAGTGGCAGAAACTGCCCTTCCTTCAGTTCACACCCAGGGCTCCGGGGTGGTGGGCAGGTGAGGGGACACTCTGCAGGGAGATTCTGCGACCGCAGGCCAGTCTCGGTGGCCGCCCACGGCCCGCCCCCAGAGTTCACTGCGCAGGCTTAGGAGCAGCACAGGGAACGGCACAGAGAATCCGACGCTGCCGGCAGTGCCGCAGGACCACAGAGCAAAGGAGCCGCTGCCCAGCCTGCTGCCTCCCGGCCCGGATTCCATGCGCTCCCTTCGCGCCCGAGCTCCGGGCTGGTGGCGGCTGGCACTCCAGCCACGCGGAGCCAGGACGACCAGGGGAGACGCTGCGGCCTCTGCCCTCCTGCTTCCTCTCAGGGCCTTGGGAGAGCCCATCACACCCCAGGCAGGCACAGCTGTGACCCTCAGCTCCCCACGAGCAGCTAGGAGAGACCCCAACCTCTGAGCCCGGGGGTGCATGGAGCTCTGTGAAGACGTGCAGCGTCTGTGGTGGGGGGTGTCTCTTCCAGGGGACAGGGGCGCAAGGTGTGTAACGGAAGTGACAAGGAAGGGTCTCTGACCCTGGGCGGGGGGGCTTTTCCCTTCATAGAGTGACCGCTCCCCTCATTCACAGATGGGGAAACTCAAAGGTCAGGAACACAACACCAGGCTGCCTGACTCCACGGCCTGCGCAGCTGGTGGTGGGACCCCTATTTTATAGAGGAGGAAACTGAGGCACAGAAGCTCTGACGCAACTGGGAACCCTGTCTCCTGACCTCCCCCATTCCCCGCGCACCAGGCATGGGCAACGCCCCCGCCCCCGCCCCCGCCCAGCGCCTGCACCCCCCACGGGGAGCACACCTGCCCGAGGCTTACCTGAGTCCTGGGAGCAGCTGAAGCCGGTGTCCCCGGTGCTGCTGCTGTTCCCCAGGGGCTGTCCGCCTGCCATGAGGGCCGTGAGGTGTGGGGACAGGCCCAGGTCTGAAAGGCAAAGTCAGCACTGAGCACAAGGCATGACCGACCGGCTGCCACACGCGCAGACCCCGTTCCAGGCCCGGCCTCACCTCGTTCCTGCAGGGGGAGCTCTCAGCCCATGGGCAGGGAGTCACTGCTGCCCCTCCCCAGGGGGCTCCTCCTGGCCAGGGCATGTCCATTGTGACACGGCTGGCCGGGTCCCAGAGGGGCCCCCATGACAACGCCAAACAAGGCAGGTGGGGGAGGTGAGTGGTCCCGGGGCTCTTCCAGAACGTGGTGCATTGACCTCCCGAGACCCCACCCGAGCGCCAGACGGCTGTTGGAAGAGCGTGAAACCCAGAGCAGGAGGGCACGGCTGTCAGCTGGGAGGCGGCGGGTGAGGCCAGGGACGCGACCCAGGACAGAGCCGAGGTTGTCTGTGGGGCCTGAGCGGAAGCTGGTTCTCACCCCGGGCCCCCAAGGCCCAGGAAGCGGAGGCCTGGGCGTCTCTGCAGCACGTGGGGCCCGACAGAAAATCTCTACAGGAAGCGGTGGGTCCCCGGTTCAGCAGGAGGGGGAAGGACAGTGAACCGGGGCGCGGCCTTGGAGACACCAGGCCCAGCGGGGCCTACAGCCAGGCCCAGGCCTCAGCATTCACGACCAGGGACGCCCCGCCAGCCGGGGGGAAAGGCGCTAGCTCAGAGACAGGGACAGGGGGCAGCAAAGACAGAAAGAAATGGATCTCAGAGGAGACAAGGCCGGGAACTTAAGAAAACCAGAAGTTCTCACTGGAGTCCTCAGAAAGCCGAGAAAACAATGACTCCATGGACCAACGAGGCTGTGGAGACTTGGGGTCACACACGGGGGCTCTCAGAGGTGAACCGTCTGGGATCAGACGTCCGAGTCGATCAGACGTAAGGGGCTACTGTAGGGGCCACCGTCTCCCCCCACAGGACACTCACAAGTGGGAGGGACCCCAGTCTTCACTTTTAACCTGGTTTTCCGGAGGGGACGGGACAGACACGCGCTCGGTTCGCTCTCCGGAGCCGAGGAGAACATGCTGGTGGTGGAGGGTGGGCGACTCCTCCAGCCCTTTCCTCCGCGACACGGGGAGCTCCCGCCTGCCGGGCTGCTGTGGTCGGCTGGGCCGGAGAAGACCCGAATGACCGTCCCCTCCAGGGCCTCGGCCCCAGAGTATGTCTGTCTCAGCAGGAAGCCTGGCTTGGGGAGGGGAGCCGGAGGGGACCATGGCTGCCCATGGGAAGGCTGAGACCACAGTGGGGTCCGGACACCGGCGCCGGGGCTGTGATGACAGGCAGGCCGAGTCGCGGTCCGCAGAGCGGGAGGGATCCCTGGGGCCGGACCAGGGCGGCTCCCTTAGCCTCTCCGTTCGGTCCACCCAGCACTGACCAGTACAGCGGGGACAGGGGTGCGGTCACCCTGAGACTATTCACCAACCTTCTTACACAAGTGTTTCTACAGGCCCACAGCGAGAGGCCCAGTGATCGTGTCAGAAGCCTGGGGTAGCTAGAAGCCCCCCAGCGCCTGTTAGAGGCTGAAGAGCAGGTGGAACGGGCATCTTGAAGGAACCAGATGCCCGCAGGTGGCACCAGCAAAGGGACGTGGACCAGCAAGGTGGGAACATGCAAAGGCCCTGCCCCCGGCCAGGTCCGGGAGCAAGCACCTCCTCTGAGTACACGCAACCGAGCCAGCGTGCTTGTCCCCACAGGAAACTGGAGAGTCTCTGTCCCCAGTTCCAGGAGCGTCAAGCATCAGACGAGTGGCATTTGGAGGGAGCGCCCTCCCCGGATGCCCAGGCCACCCTCCAAACTCCTAAGGGAGCCCATGGGAGTCCGCCAGCGAGACACCAGGAGCAGAAGGCACTGTGGTGGGTCAGTGATGGAGGCCCCCCAGGCAGAGCTTAACCTTTGACACTTCTTTGGGGCTAACAGGAGGGGAACCAAAGTGCACGGATTGTGGCTGAGATCTGTGTACGGAACAGACATGACCACGTGTTCATGAAACTCCCGGCTTCCCGGAGTCAGCGGGGGGCTCCCGCTATTTCTGGGATCCCCCTCCGCCTTTGCTCACAGCCCTGGCAGGGAAGATTATTCCGCGTCCTGACTCCTCAGGTTACAGCTCGGCAGGTGTCCACGCACGTGGAGAGGCGCAGAGCCAGACAGGGCCTCCCCGCTGCTGCTCGCTGGCTTGGAACTGGATCGGACTGTCCTTCTCGGCCCCTGATGACAACTAGTGGGCACGCTCCCTCGGGTGAGGGGTGGCCAGAAGCAGGCTTGGGGTGGGTTGAGGAGCCTCCTGCAGATCCAAGTTGTGCCCACAGAGGGCGCTAGACCAGGGTCTGCTCCGCCCTGGCTCAGCCAGAGGGACCAGGCAGAAGAGGAAGAGGCAGGATTCTCTGGCCCCATCAGAAAGCATCCCCGGCAAGGACGGGGCAGAGCTGGTGGGCTCTGCGTTCGGCTCTGTCTCCAAGACTTGGGGTGCTGCTGGCCTCCCGGACACCTCCAGGGGAGAAACCACAGGGACCCCCAGCTCAACTCCTGGAGAAGGCCAACCACTTTGACCCCACACTCCAACCTCAAACCACCCCGGCTGCGTTTCCCTCAGTGTGCAGGAGCCCGCCAGCTGCCCCGGACGTGCCGCCGACCACGGGGGGCTGCCGCCCGGTCCCCTGAGCGCTCCCGGGGGTGATCGACTCGCTCGGAGAACCCTGGCCCGAAACGCAGACGTGTCCCGTCGTCCTGCTACCTGCTCCTCCTCTGTTCTTTCCTTTTCTGCCCTTCCTCATTCTTACTTCCTCGGAATAAGAAATGTTTAATTTCTTTTTTTTTGGATTGGAAGAGAAGAGATTTTACAAAATCTGAACAAATAAACGAATCAGTGAAACAAAACCAAGGGACGCTTGGCTCACACGTCGCACTAGAAAACACGTGCATGTCGGGGAGGGCATCTCAGTGGTTAAGTACTGGACACGGGCATCTACTGTCTCCTTTGGTCAAAACGGAAAGTCCCAGAATCCTTCCTCTCTCGAGCAGTAAGGCCCCGTCCACCCGTGCAGTGAACCGGTGATGTGGTGTGGTCGGAGTGCCCGCATCGCCCTCGCTGAGACCGCGTGATAAGCGGGCGTTGCTCTCTGTCCACCCTCCCGACAGAGAGGAGACCCCGCTGTCTGCGGGGAGAAGTCGGCGTGAGTGTCTGGTGGTGCGGCTGGCGGTGAGGCCCACCAACGGTGCCCAAACCGCGGCGGCTGGAGGAGAACGGGCGGTTTGCACAGGGGCCTCCAGGTAGACGCTCTGTTGTATTTATTCATCACAACAGAATGAAGAATGACTTTCCGGGGGAGAAACCTGGCGATGCCACCTGAGTGTACAGACTGAATGTCTGTGTCCCCCCAACCCCAAGTCATAGACTGAGGCCCCCAGTGTGACCGTGTTTGCAGACGGGCCGTTGGGAGGTAATCAGAGGAGCTCATGAGGGTGGGAGTCCCATAAGAAGACTGGAGAGCCCGCCCTCTCCCATCCCTGACCCCTCTGAGGACCCAGCAAGGACACAGCGGGGAGTGAACCCGCACCAGGACCTGCCATCTGGCCCTGGCACCATGACCTTCCAGCCTCCTGAACTGTGAGGAGACAGATGTCTGCTGTCCCAGCCACCCAGTGTGCGGTCCTTTGTCAGAGGAGCTCGAGCCGATGAGCCCCTCCCCGAGAGATGAATGGTCCCCTAAGCAGTACCAGTGACATACGTGCCCCAACGTGACCACGTCACCCCCGCTGTTCCTGCCCAACGCCTGTCATCTCATCCTAGTCTTGAGAACACACGTCGAGGGGTTTCCACGAAGCCCCTGAGCAGCGCTGCGCGAAGGTGTCCGTGTCACAGAAGACAGGGAGCGAACAGAGACTTAAAGATGACAAAGGGCAACAGGACAGCCACGAGGGAACAGAAGGGGGACGTGGATGGGAAATCGGGGGGAGCTCATAGCGCTGCCCGACGGGACCGTCCTAGGGTCGCCAGCTGTGCTACTGTCAGGCGAGATGTCACCTCGAGGGGCAGCGGGGCACGGAAGTCTGTCCTCCAACTCTGCCGAAGTCGCAGATTGTTCCAGAGTGAAAAGGTCAGAAAGCCTGGCCCTGACTAGGCGGTTCCTCTGGGTCTCGCCCAAGGGGACGGGGTGGGGTAGAACCTTGTTTGTTCGGAATCGATGACCTGAGGGAAGAGAGCTACCCGCCGATAGCGCAGGACAGCTCAGGGTGCGGGGTGGACGCTGGCATGTCCTGAGTTAGGAGGGACGGTCAAGGGCACCAGCGACCGGGGACAACAGGCGCGAGGACGAGCGTGTCGGGGATGAGCCGTGGGGAGCTCTGCTGTGAACCCTGGAAGGTCTGGCCGAGAGAAGCGGGGGCCCAGGCCTGGGTCTCTCCTCTCCACAGGGGCACCAGACTGTCGAGGCCCGTGGGCTGTGGCTGGGGCGACAGAAAACAGATTTCTGAACCCTGGTGTCCCCTGCCCTGACCACTCGGTGCAGGAAAGATGCGGGAACCACAGGGGACCCTCTGGGATGTTCCTTTCCCAAAGGACATCCGTCCTTTGTGCCTGGAGGCCCCGGCAGTGAGCCTTCTGCCACCACCGAGCCCGGGCGGCCGAGAGCACCACAGGCCACTCCCCTGGCACGTTCCCGCGTTACCTGTGATCCTGTTGGAAATGCTGAAGAGCCGGGACGTCCTCTGCCGCTGGACAAACGGCTCCCGGTAGTAGCGGTCCCCAAAGCACATGCCCAGCAGCTCCTTGCGGACCGTCTTGTTCCAGAGCCCGTAGATGAGGGGGTGGCAGGCGGCGCTGGTGAAGCTCAGCCACGTGGCCCAGGTCTCCAGGCTCGGGGACACCGAGTTCTTCCCCCACAGGGCCTCAGAGGCGATGACCACCATGTAGGGGCCCCAGGTGACCATGAAGGCGCCGAGGACCACCAGGATGGTGATGAGGGCTTTGCACTGGTTGGCCGAGTAGACGACGCCCTGGAAGGCGTTCCTCCGGCTGCCCGAGGAGGAGGTGGAGGTGCTGGAGTTCTTCCTCCCGGCCCGCTGGTCCCCCTCCACCACGACCACCGTGCCACAGTGCACCTTGCGCGCCTTGACCCTGGCCACGCGGAAGATGAAGCCGTAGCACACGAGCATGACCAGGAAGGGGAACAGGGCGCACCAGATCTGCCAGAAGGCGGTGTAGCCGGGCTCCTGGTGCCACGCGGCCACGCACATCCACTTGAACTCGTCGAACTCCACCGACGACCAGCCGAAGAGAGGCGGCAGGCAGCCGATGAGCGAGTGAAGCCAGACGTAGACGAGCGCCATCACGGCTCGGTTCCCCGTGATCTTCATGGGGTACACCATGGGGTACAGGACAGCGTAGTAGCTGCAAAGGATGGAGGGAGGCGAGAGATGTCAAAGCAGGGGAACCCCCGCAGGGCCCCCCACTGCTTGCCCAGGCGGAGAGCACTCTCCCCGCCCAGACACTGATTCAAGGGAAATGCTGGCTCATGAAGAGAGCGCCGTGAGGTCAAGGTGTGCAAGGGACAGGGGTGGCCACACGGACGCGGCCTGGGCAGGCAGGGCATTGGGAATGACCGGCCACAAGCCTCACAGTTCACCTGGGAAGCCACCTCCTCCACCAGGACCTTCTTGAGTCACCTGGGGACACAGCTCAGAGGTCAGCCCGAGGCTGCCGACCTCAGGTCTGGTCTGGAAAGGGCGTTTCGGTGTCCACGACGGTGGCGTGGGTCTCAGAACCGCTGCCCGTGACCCAGGGTGCAGCCCTGCGTGCGGGACACGGTGTCTGGGTTTGGATCTTGCTCGGACTCTGCCGCTCAGAGAAAGGAGGGGGCCTCCGGAGCCGGGGCGGCTCTGCTGTCTGCAGGCTGCGTGACCCAGGGTGGCTGACCCCACCTCCGAGTCTCTGTTCCTCCATCTGTGCAGGGGAACCACGGAGCCTGTGCCACGGATGTGGGCTGAGGACGCGCGGGCCAGCGAGGCCAGGCCTGCCCTGTGCACCCGCACAGGAAACTGGCGGGGGCGCGGCCTGGCCACTGCCTGGCCACCAACTGCTCCCCTTCCTCCTCGAGGATGGAACCCCCTCTTGCGTATGAGCCCATAAAACTGCCATGACCACACGGGACACTGGGCCTGAGTCCTGGGGTGGCAGGCGACAGGTTGAGCACCGGCCGGTGTGACAGCATCTCAGCAAAGAAAATGCGAGGGGGTTGGCCGGGGACACCTCCAGGAAAGTTCCTTCGCCTTCAGAACCGAGGGCAGCTTCTGCTTTCCCCTCCCCTCAGAAACATGCCGGTTCTCTGGCCTCACACCTCAGGCGTGGCGGGTGCTGGGTGGGAGGCCAGCCTGCGGAGTGCCGACTGTCCCTCGGCCCCCCGGACCCACCCCGGCAGCCGTCGCGGGAACACGCGTGATGAAGAAGCTGTGCTCTGCTACATCACCTTCTGGCTATTGTCACAGCCCCGTCAGTTTGCTATCTTAGGGCAAGACTCCTGCGTTACTGTAACAAACGGTGTTCATATCACCCGCTGAGCACAGTCCTAGGCATGAACCAGTCCGGTGGACACCACAGTGATCTCTCCCAGCTGTGTCCGGTCCCCTGGGCATGTCCGGCCAGGGCACTGCCCGTGTGGGTCCGCGCCCGCCAGGGGCTGCTTTGGTTTAGAGGGGCTCGGGGGTAAAATGTATATACATTGAAATGCACAAATCTACACCCTGATCAACCTTTCCACATCTGCCCACAAGAAAATGGATCTTATAGATCTGAGACTTCATGTTTTCAACGTCGGCCTCATTCAGGCCTGCTGGAGGCTCAGAGGGAGACAGAAGGGCAGCCCCGTCTTCTCTCGCAGGTGCACATGGGCCGAGATCGGGGTCCTCTGCTTCCTGCACCCTCAGATGTCTTCTGCGGGTCCCCGTGAGTTCTTCAACAGCTCACGTTTAGACACAAGCCCAAGCGTGACCTGGGTCCCCAAAGACACTGCCCTCCATCACGTGTGACGGGAAGGCTGCCACGCAGCGTGGGCTCCGTGCTTAGCGCTCCTGCCTCGAGACCAGCGACCGTGAAAATGACCGGTTTTAACAGGAGGGAACAAACCGGCACCCACGCAGCCCCCGGGTGACAGTGACAGGCTGGCCTGTGGCTGTCCTCACTGTGACTGACCAGCCTGTGGTTCCAGCTACTTACTGTGATCAAACACTGTTTGCAGCTGGAGTTCCATCCACCCCAGTGAGGACCGACTGCAGCCTCACGCTGCTCTCTGCAGGGCAGACAGCCGACAGGACTCTGGCCTGGGCCTGGCCGGGCCCTGGATGGACAACCCAGCAACCGCTCAGCAGCTAAAACCCTGGTGGTCCCAAAGCGGCCTGGGACAACATCGTGACTCGTCCCCTCTGTTTCCCTGACCCCACTGCCAGCTTGCTCCCCAATTCTGTGAGTCACGCTGAACCTGAGTCTGCCCTCCCTGCCCTCACCAAGTCCACTTGTCTGGGACGAGTGAGGTGACCGTCAGCGAGATGCAGTCACACGCTGAACCTCGGCGTAGAAACCACTGTCAACGCGCCAGGCTGGCAGAGCCTACTTGGACGGCACGGAGCGGGAACCCGAAGGCACCTGTCAGATGCAGCTGGGCAACATCAGCGGGTTTGCCTCCCACTGTCCGGGTCCAGCTGCACCACAAGAACGGACAGGCCACTGCCGGACGCACAGGCCACCTCTCAGGGGCCACCGTCTTTCCCTGTCCCCTTCCATCCTGGACTGAGCTGACTGCTGAGGTCCCCTGCTGTGGCCAGGGGCAGCGTCTCCTCTTTGGGTCCCCTTGCCCAGCTCTGGCCCAGGTCAAAGCGACAGGTGGTGGACAGCAGGTCTGAGACCTCCCCTAACACGTCATCTTCGCAGCATCTGCCTCTCGATTGTACACTAAGAATCAGAGGTCTCTAGAACTTTTTTTTTAAACCACGGAACCTCTTTTAAAAAATAAAACTACAGTCCAACTGGTGTGGTTCAGTGGTTGAGCAACAACCCTGCACCAAGAGGTCGCCAGTTCGATTCCCAGTCAGGACATATGCCCAGGTTGTGGGCCTGATTCCCAGTGGGGGGCGTGCAGGAGGCAGCCAATTGATGTCCACTCTCATCGATGTTTCTATCTCTCTCCTTTTCACTTCCTCTCTCTCTAAAAAATCAATAGAGGAAAAATAAATAAAACTACAGAGAGGATTATAAATAAATATATATAGATATCACAGATTATATGCACGTGGGCATTGGGCTCGAATGCCCACTGCCAGCCCCCTGTCCAGGATGCAGCCTCTCTCTCTGGCCTGGGCCAGGGTAGGGGCAGGGATGTAATGCTGGGGAGGCTGGAGGCTGTGGTCAATGTCACAACACAGACCGTGGTGGCAAAATATATATATAATGAATAATAAAAAAATAAAATTAGCCCTGGCCGGTTTGGCTCAGCGGTTAGAGCGTCGGCCTGCGGTCCAGAGAGACCAGGGTTCGGTTCCCGCTAAGGGCATGTATCTTGGTTGCAGTTTGTCCCCGGCCCTGGTTGGTCGTGCGGGTGGCAGTCACTCGATGTGTCCCTTTCACATCGATGTTTCTCTCTCTCTCTCTTCCTCTCTCTCCCTCCCACTCTACCTGAACAAAAAATGGAAAAATGTCCTCCGGTGAGGATAAAAAATAAATAAAATAAAATAAAATTACGTGCAAGGCGATGAGATCAAGTCCGCGGTCCTCTGGTTGAAGGGACGGGAGCAAAGGCAGAGTCCTGCCTTCTCTTCCTTCTCCCTGCAGAGCCCGCCACCGCCCAAGGACTCAGACAGCAGGACACCCCCGGACCACGTGACAGCTCCACCCGGTGCACACCTTGCCTCCTCCTCCAGCCCTCCGCCCGTGGCCAGCTTACCGGTCAATGGCAATGACCCCGAGGGTGAGCATGCTGGCCGAGCTGATGAGCAGGTACAGGAGGGCCGAGAAGTTGCACCAGACCACCCCGAAGATCCATTCCCGCCGGATGGAGCTCGTCACCACGAACGGCAGCACCAGCACGGACAGCAGGAAGTTGGACAGGGTCAGGCTGAGGACGAACTTGTTGCTGAGGGTGAGGAGGTAGGACTTCTTGTACAAGGTGACCACAATGACCAGGTTGCCCAGGCAGACGAAAATGGTGATGACGACGATGGCGATAAACTGGGCGATGACGACGCCCCCTTCACCAGCCGCCGCCTCCGTGAGGTTGCTCAGCTCCTTCCAGTGGCCCAGGGAGCAGTTGAGGCTCATGGTCAGTGCGCCTGGCCGTGTGTGGGGCGCAGCATGCTCGACAGCTGGAAGGACAGCGAGACCAGGGGACAGGAGGCTCATCAGACCAGATACCTGACTTTTCCAGGAGAGCAGCGAGGCCCCGGGCCACCCAGCCCGTCCGGAGACTCCCAGCGAACTCTGCACGTGCGGCCTGTGTTCTACACCCAGCTCTGTGGGCGACTCGCTGTGTCCCCTTGAACGAGGCGTCCTCCATTCTCAACAGCCCCGCCATCCCCCAAAGCCAGCGGTTCAAACCTTGAATGCTCCAAAGAATCACCTGGAGTGTCAGCTCTCAGGGTCACCTGCTAGATTCTGGTCCCAGAGATCAGAGGTACAGCCTAGGAATCTGCATTTGAAACCAGCAGGCTGCTGCAGGTGACTCTGTTACCCGTGATCCATGGGGGCACCCTGTGGGCTGCTGCTTTTATTTTATTTTATATTATTTTTTATCCTCACCCAAGGACATCTTTGCATTTATCCTCAGATAGAGCGGGAGGGAGAGAGGGAGGAAGAGAGAGAGAGAAACATCAACGGGAGAGAGACATACCGACTGGCTGCCACCCACATGACTCCAACTGGGACCGGGGACAAACTGCAACTGAGGTATGTGCCCTTGGCGGGAATGGAACCCGGGACTCTCTGGTCCGAGGGCCAACGCGCTAACCACTGAGCCAAACTGGCCAGGGCGTTATCTCTTATAAGTAAATTATTCATTGGTGCCTCAAAATAAGGCACTACATAAGCCTCTTACTCTTCACTGGGCACGTGATAACACAGTGGCCAAGGAAATAGACTTCGAGAGCCCTGGCTGGGTAGCTCAGTTGGTTAGAGCATCGTCCTGATACACCAAGGTTGTGGGTTCGGTCCCCGGTCAGGGCACATACAAAAATCAACCAATGAATGTATCAGTAAGTGGAACAATAAGTTCATGTCTCTCTCTCTCTCAAATCAATCAATAAAACAGACTTTGAGTTATTAGACATATTACAAAATGAGAGAAAATATTTACAACTTATATGACAGAAAAAGGACTAATCATCTAATTTATGAAGAATTCCTTAAAATATCAAGAAAAAATGTTTTAAAAAAGATAGAAAAATGGATAAGCGACCCTTAAAAATGTTGTATCTGTGCGAGGTGATGGGTGTTAACGAAACACCCTGATACTCATGTCAGCACAGAGAAATATCCCAAGTCTCCGCGCTGCACAGCCTTAGACTCACAGCGTCAATTCGGTTCAATGAAAGTGCGAGGAAAGGCGAACAGCTCACAGAAAAAGATATAAACAGAGAATTCACAGAAAAAGTGTACCAATAGCACTTAAACACATGGAAAGATGTCACTTCACTCAGAATACGAGAAATGCACATCAAAACGACACTGAAATACGCCTCTGTGGGCTTTCCCCGCGCTCCAAAGGGGCCGCGGGGGGCTGGGCCGCGCCGACGCCTGCGCTGCCCTCGGACCCAGCAAGGCCTCTTGCAGGGGCTGAAGATACAGGTTCACAGTGCAAAGTAACAGAGGCACAGGAAATTTGTTCGCGGAGGCACTCATTTTAAAAAATTGGAAATAAGGGAGGAAGGGAAACAAGAATATCTTTGCACATAAATATATGTTTCCTTATGCAAAAAAAAAAAAAGATGCTGGGGTTGGGGGGTGGGAAGAGATAAACCACAGAACTTACATGCATGTATGCATAACCAGTGGACACGGACAACTAAGCCGGGGACGGGGCGGGGGAGGGGGTGGGGAGGAGGGTGTCAATGGGGTAAAAAAGGAGAAACATCTGCAACAAAAAAAAATAAAAAATTAATAAACAACAACAACAACAAAGATGCTAAACCAGACACTAAAATAGAGATGGAAGTAAAATTCACCTAAGCATTTTTTTTTTTTTTTAGTTTTGATTCTAGAACTATGTGAATACTTATTTATTTTTTTTATCCTCACCGGAGGACACTTTTCCATTTTTTGTTCAGATAGAGTGGGAGGGAGAGAGAAACATCGATGTGAAAGGGACACATCGAGTGGCTGCCACCCTCACAACCCAACCAGGGCTGGGGACTAACCGCAACTGAGGTACGTGCCCTTAGCGGGAACCGAAACCGGGTCTCTCTAGACCGCAGGGCGCCGCTCTAACCACTGAGCAAACCCGGCCAGGACAGAACTATGTGACTATTTTACATGCTAAAATATTAAATAAAAAGGGATGCAAAGTAAATGTCAACTTGACTGCCAACACAAAGCAAAGCAGCCTAACTGTGCATCAGATTAGTAACAACCACTGCCGCATCTGTGGGCATAGCCCGATGGTGTACATCCTATGGAGCAAAGAACTACTAAGTTGACTTAGTAAGTTAGATGTTGTTAATGTTGTTATAAAATGTTGCAACTATTTTGACTGTTGCAACTGAGTTTTTTACTATGGAAAGAAGCAGAGAGGAGTTATAGACAAAGTAAAGATGAGCAAGACCCTGGAGCGTTAGATTTGTTATTAGAGGCCATCTGTTCAAATATAAATATAAAAGTGGAGCCCTGGCCGGTGTGGCTCAGCAGTTAGAGCATCGGCCTGCAGACCCAGGCGTCACGGGTTCGATTCCTGGTCAAGAGCACCTACCTGGGATGCAAGTTTGATCTTCGGCTGTGGTGGGGGTCATGTGAGAGGCAACCAACCAGTCGGTGTCTCTCTTACATCAATGTTTTTCCTCTCTCCCTCTCTGCCTTCCACTCTGTCTGGAAAGCAAAGGAGAAGTATCCTCAGGTGAGGATTAAAAAAATACAAAAACAGCCCTGGCCAGTTTGGCTCAGCGGTTAGAGCGTCGGCCTGCGGTCCGGAGAGACCCGGGTTTGGTTCCCGCTAAGGGCACGTACTTCGGTTGCAGTTTGTCCCCGGCCCTGGTTGGTTGTGCGGGTGGCAGCCACTCGATGTGTCCCTTCACGTCGATGTTTCCCTCTCTCTCTCCCTCCCACTCTATCTGTATAAAAAATGGAAAAATATCCTCGGGTGAGGATAAAAAAAAAAGAAAAAAAAAAAAACAAAAACACAAAACAACAACAACAAGTAGGTCTAAGGAAATGCCTCAGAATGCAGTCAGAAAGATCGAGAAATTGACAATATAAAATAAAAGGCAAATGAGAGAATGACTAGGAAGTACTTATGAGTAAGCGAAGCACAGTCTTTTTCATTTATTATGGGAATCACTCCGGGCACTGTGGTGGCCTTCACGGACGTGAGCATCTCTCCTCCAAATTCACTGGACCCAAAATAAAAACAATAAAAATCTCCTGCAAGTGGTAAGAACTCTTGCTCTGAAGTTCTACAATATCATTTGAGAGAGGGCACAATACACTTTGGAGGTGCACACAACCCGAGAGCATACCGGGCACTTCTTATGAAACGAACTGCAGTCCGAAGGAAACGGATCCGGAAATTAGGGGTTGGGGGTACAGATCAAGTGTTAGAAAAGAAATTGGAAACTATGTGGATACATCTAAGTAAGAACGGCGAAGAAATGAAATGGAAATGGAAAAAGTTAAACATCAACAGCAAACGTCATGCAAGCGGCTAATTGGGGCGCTTGGAAAACAAGAAGAAATTCAGACAGTAAGCGAAATGGAAGCTCTTGAAGGTGTGATCGGAGTAAAAATATCCCAGGCTGGTCTTGGGGCAGAGACCTTGGTCAGAGCTGCTTCCTCAGCACCCGGACGAATACCTGGTGCACAGTAGGTAACTCAGGAATTATTTGTTCGTGAATGACTGGCCTTCAACACCTTGTTGTCGTTACGTCACACATGGCTGTTAACATAAAGGTAGCCACTAAAGAATAAAATAGGGTCCAAAACTTTATTTAAGAAAGGAATACGGTGCTCCCCGCCCTGACTCCTCTCCAGTGGCCTATTAGCAGGCACACGAGGGAACCGTCAAGTCACAGCCCAGGTTGGCCGAGGTCCTCCAGGTCCTCCCAGGAGGCACGGACTGTGGGACAAAGACCAGCCCACCCAGGGGAATCCGCAACCCCAGCCTCTGCCAGGAGCCTGGAGCGGGGCAGGCGCAGCCCCAACAACCCCCCAGGGGTGTACTTTTGAAGAACAAGAGGGAGGTTTGGAATGCCCCAGCTTGTGAAGGCTCCCAGGCAGCCAGCCAGCTCCCCCGGGGCCTGACAAGCCAGGGCCCATGGAATGAAGCGAATTCAAGGGTGACTCACATTTCCACTCTGCCCGCCAGTTCTGCTGCCAGACACAGGGTGTTCCACTCCCACACCCTGCGTCCTGCCCTGACCAGACAGATGCCCCTGTCCACCCCAGCTCCACGAGAAACAACACAATGGTAACGGCCGAGCTCTGACACACGGATGGGAAACCCTTCCCTCCTAGACAGGTCACAGGCCGGCTGAGCAGGTCATGCTGTCCCAGCTCAACCCACTGGGGTCGCCCCTCTCCTGGAACTGACTTCGGGGTCCTCGCCCACTCCCAGGGAAAGACTGGGGAGAGCCCCAAGTCCCTCAAAGCCACGCCTGCCGCGCAAGGGAGAGACCAGTGTCCTTGGGGTTAAAAAAACAACAAGGCGACACGGTGGGATACTGAGAGGGGTATCCACTGCTTCACGACTGGGTTGCCTGGTAATTCCCAAGAAATAATTCTAGAAACCTTTTGGGGGGCAGGGACAGGGGAGCGGGAGGGGAGGGGGGCTCTGTCGGGGGCTCTGTCACTGACTCGGCAGGCGGCTACTTGGGGGCTCACCTGCTCTCACCTGGACTCTTTCGTTTTCCTGGACCCTGAGTGCACTTCCTGCTCACGGGTCTGTCGTGGCGGCAGGGAGGCCTGGGGGTTAAGGGTGGGGACTCGAAGCCACAGAACCTGGGGTGTGAAGGACCAGCTCCAAGGCCCCCAGCTAGGCACAAAGCTGCTGGAATAAGCAGCCCTCGTGGGGAGGACATACTCTTCACCTCCGCTTGGCACAGCCACGGTGAGGTCGCTGGGATGTTATTTTGGTCGCACCCTCCCAGGCCCTTCATCCGGGCTCCTCA